TACATCAAACATTTCGCCCTGTCTGAAAACACAAACATTCCAACTAAAGAAAATATCAACTTGTAACATACAAACGTAAACACCCTGCAATTTAATTTTAGAAGTTAAATTGCATACGAATTTAATTCTATGTTCGCATTCACATTCGTGCAGTGCGATGTCATTAGAAACCCACTTTGCAGTTGTTATCTGAAGTGGAGCAATGCTGTCAGCCGTCGAGGTGCTCAATATCGTTCGTGACGCGCGACAGGTGCGATCGCACCACCCATCTACCAACAAACACGTTTAAATAATTCACGTATTACATTAGCGTCACGCGGTGTGGTTATTTGCGTGCAATTTCTCGCGTTTGATGCCGCTCGCATCGAATTTCAATGCTGGCGCGTATTTCCCAGCCGTTGCTGACAAATTACAACTACACAATTCTGTCTTAATAACGAGCGTGAAGTCAAAGAGTAGCTGCAACAGTGGGTTACAAAGATCATTGCAATAAGCAACCCAACACACACGCACATATGTATGTGTTTAACCATTTCTACGTTATTACTGCCGCTAACTAGTATACTTCAAAGTGTACCTCATTAATATCGCATAATCTTTCATGACTTCCAAATTTCTTTGTTTTTCCGAAATTTCCGTCGGCGTAACGTGCGCTCGATATTCAAAATGCTATTTCGACTTTCGTCAAACGAGTTTGTCGTTAGTTGCTTGCCGTTTAGCCCATGCTATGCCGTCAAGTTAATTAAATTCAGGCTGGTTTATTATTATTACGCCAAAACGCAAGCCGTCGTTTGCCCGGCGCCTCCGCACTGTGCTAATTAATGATGACGTATAAAATGCTTTGAAATTCAAAATGTTTGCAATGATTACGACAAAGACATAGCAACGAATATATAAATATAATTATAATTATACAAATGCAATTGTTAAATAATTATTTCTATAGAATGCTAGTTTAAATTAGGTAATTTGCGTTTTGTAATTTACTGAAACTGCAATAAAATCATCTAAATCATTTTCATTCTGACATCTGCATTATAACGAAGTATAATTAACAATCATCTATTGTACCCGTAGTCGCATTACATCATCTTCATCTTCGTCATGTGTTTTTTCTCCTTTTATACCCTTCTAGCCGAGAGAGTTAACAAAGCAATTATTCACGTTTAAAGCGCAGGCGATAAGTATAGGAACGGAAAGAGTACCAGAAAATGTACGCTCCAACAACCAGCCCGCTTCTCTTCATGCTCGAACAGTTCTTACAATTTCTATATTGCAACATGCTGCAAGTTGCAACTGAAATTTAACTGCGTTTGAAATGCTACCTTGCGTCCTTAAAGCAATTAGACCAATATATATACACGAAATATTAATTCAATAAAATTTTATGTTTTAAAACTAGCAAGTTTATATTAAAAAGACAACATTATTTTAGTTTCTTCTTGTTTTACTATAGTTTTATTTTAGAAGGCATTGAACAGCGAGACTTTTATGATCTAACAGTTTATGACAACTTATTTCCGCACTTATGTGATGGATTCCTTGGAATTCTCGCCTGCAAATTGTCACTACAATGTTGTGGAGTCAGTAAACGCTGTACGAAGGCGCCGGGCACGCAGTAAAACTTTCGAACGTCGCAGGGCATTGGTGGCGTGAAGGCGTCGAGCATAATTTAATACTAACACATTTGTTGTTTACTTATTTAGGATGCTATCACTCCAACTCCGCCCGGCGACGCTGCTACAAAATGCAAAATAGTGCAGAGTAGGTAAACAAATTTGCTGGCAGGCGGAGACGCTGAGACGCGACGCGAATCGATTACTAATGACGCGTCGTGTTCACTTCCGGTTTCTTCGCCAAAACGTGTATCGCCGCACGTTCACGTTCAATTGCTCCAACTTACTTGTGCAGCTTTTCTCGAAAGTCGATTTCCATTTCGCGTTCAGCGTCTACATTTGGTCGTCTCGTAACTTACTTCTAGAAATCGGCTTCGGAAAAGGCCGCGACGTGCGCGGCGGGTAGGCAAATTGTAAAATTGGTGGAAATAAAATTAGGGCTAGGTTAGTTACGAATATTTTATTATGCACGCGGTGGGTCGTTGGAAAATTGCCGGAAAATACGCTTTCAACTCGATTGGCTTCGACATTATCGAAATTGAAGGCAGTATATTAGCTTGGTGTTTCAATTATGTCGACTTGATCTTTGACAATTGTTAAAATGATAATATATTGCATATTAAACGTGCAAATTAAACTTTTTGACATGACATTTTCACATTTACAATAAAAATAAAACTAATTTATGTATTTAAATAGAGATGCAATATATTGTTGAATGTAAACTTGCTCAGGTCGCCTATATTTAGAGCACAATATCAATTGACACTTGACAACTTGAACAACTCGCTCGTATCAATTGCAACTTGTGTCGCAATCAACCGTATCAACCCTTTAACTGGTCCAATCACACACCCACATCAAACAACACCATTACAGCCGTTTCAATGCCATTCACTAAGCACCAATTCACACAAGTAATAATCTAACTCATGAAAAGTTTTATTTTCCTTAAAATATGTTTCATGTAATTTTAGGTCAAAATATGCCGCTGGGGGTGGCGTCTTATCTAATGTTTATTCAAGATGTTTACGCGTTAAATCTCATCAATATGTTAGCAGCGCCTCGTCCTCGGAGTCGTCGTCGTTGTCGGAGGCACATTATACACACTTTGCTATCTATCGCACCACCCTCTTTAAGGGTCGCTCGCCCTCACATCCGACTGGTTCTAACACGTGCTGAATGCGAATTCCGCTGCCGGTCTCAGTATCTATCTATCAATAAACAAACAAACGCGCGCATTAACAAACATCGAGGCGAGAGACCACGACGTTATCGCGACGGAAAATGATACGTTTGGACTGCGTGAAGCAGTGTGATGACACGATAACGATATCCGGGGCTTTGAATTGCAAATTCTATGTATTTGCTTACAAATGTTTTGTTTTCACTGACGTAAGAAGCAAACTTTACTTGAAACTATATTTCTAACTATCATTACTACCGCCAAAAATATTCTCTCTTTTAATTTAAGACAATCTCAGTTAAAAATATTTAACTATAACTACATTCACATGTTAAAATTTTCCGATAAAAACTATCCTATTTTATTTTCTTCGGTATTAAATGTCTCTATAGCAAAATTTATTAAAATTGGTTCAATGGTTTTTGCGTGATAGCGTAACAAATATACAAACAGTCTCGCATTTGGATTTAAAACAATAGTTTAAATGAGTATTGTATACCAAGAAAAGTTTAATTGGATCTATTCTACGAATTAAAGTACTTGGAAGTAAAAAATGTTCACCTTTGACGTCACGTTGCGTTGGCGTGAAGTTGTCTTTAATTATGTAATCGATCGATCAACCTTGCTATCTCAGCTGCAATTTCCACAAACTAATGTAAATAATTTATTTTAAACAGAAGATAACAACGTATTGAAACGAACGGTTTGTTTTTGAATGACTTTAAAAACGCCTTGTATTATTTTGTTCTGGTTATCGAACCGTTCAATCGATTCGTACGAAAAACTCATGAAAGGTGGGCTATCAGAAAATTGCATCGGCAAACGGCATTCACAGATCGCACGAGAACTGCCGTCAACTTTTCGACTTTTCGTGAAATACTCCAATCTAGCAAATCCGAAGTTACCGCATTCGTACGCCTGCCCACCGGAATCGACATCCAATATAATTTTATCTTAATAGAAATGTAATTTTAGCGAAAGTTTTAAACTTTCCTAAAATACCGCATACAACGCTGCAATACTTGGAAAAGCAATAAAATTAATATAAATGTGATCCAACAGTTCCAACAATTTTAAGTTTACAGTTTCTCTGTTACCCACAATGTTTGGTGGTCTAATGATTCGATGGAGAGCAAGCAAAAATGGAATGAAATTACTCGAATGCGAAATGTTTACTCTTCCGCATGCTCGAACTACTTACAGTGCTCGCTGGTTGTGCGTTTAAGTTCGAGCTGGTAAAAACCAGAAAGGGGCGACCAAACGAGCAATGCAAGTAATAAATACTAACTAATGCGCGAGGGCATCCAAAAAGTAGTCCGCGAGCAACAGAGCAACCCTACGAAATGAGTCGACATTGGCATGTGGCCAAATTGTGCGCCGAATTCAAACGATTCGAGATCGCCAGTCGTGCGTAAATGTTAAGTTTTATTAGATTTATTGTAGCCAAAAGTGTAATCAACGAGAATAAATGTTTTAAAACTAAATATAAAAATTGACATATTTTTGTGTTAAATCACTAACAAGATTTTTTCACGCTCACAAGTTGTAAAATCGCACTTTTATGTCGTTTTTATTGCTTTATCTGCTTCGTGAATATTTCTTTTCTTTACCAAAAGTGACTGTTTGAGTGCACACAGTGTGAAGTTTAACCGCCTGTTGGAATTACCTCCAAAGTATCTTGAAACTCTTTCCCCGGCCGAAGCCTAACTAAATTCGAGAACCTTTAACCCCATAACGATACTTTACTCGTTCCTTTTTAGACTAGTAAAATTCGGACCGAGCGTAGAGGCAAGCAAAGTTGTTCTTCTGATGCTCATTCTGGTTTAGTTCAGCGTTACTTTGCATTTACTTTACTTTCCGCTTTGGTCTCGCCTGGGGTTTAATCGCGCAGAAAGTGTAATATTTTCTGGCGCACGCTCGCAGCCAACGTGGCGTGTAAAATGCAAAACTATAGCCGCAAATATTATAATTAAACAACCTGCGAAAGTTTCGAACGCACAACACAGAAAAGTAGGGGTTTCTAAAGTGTTGCGAGCATAAACACTCAGGCTTCAACAGCTTGATTATTTATTCAGCGCAAAAACTTAAGGCAACAACACGTTTTGAGTTTTCGCTAAAGATTTGAGAATATTGGTTTACAAAGATACGAACTATTTAACTAAACTAACATTTTTTAAATCAAAATTGTTTTGTTGCAGAATGAATTAATATGGCTTCCGTTGGCGCAGATGTGACATGATGGAGAAATATGCGACGTTCCACGCATCGGTGGCAGTAGTCGCACTGATCACACTCCTCACCCCATTGGGCACACACTCCGAGGAGACAACACAGTGTCCAAGCTTCGCCGCCAATCCGTCATGCCCGTGTTACAACTTCGAGGACGGGATCTTCCTGGAGTGCCCCGCCGCCACTGCCCACTCTCTCCGCGCGGTGCTGAGCATCGTTGGTGGACCGATACAGTCCCTCAGCGTCTACGACCTGGACAAATCTGTCACGCGGCTTTCGGCCGACTTCTTCCCGGATGGCACGACGATCAAACACCTACAGATCTCGCAGAGCAACCTCATGGAGATACATGACGACAGCCTGCTAATGCTGAAACCTGAATTAGAGTCGCTCTCGTTTGTCAGCGGCAAACTGAAAGAGATCCCACAGAAAGCTTTTGGGGGATTGATAAAGCTGATTGCCCTGGATCTTGAAAGCAATGAGATTAGTGACCTGCCAAGTTACAGTTTTTATGGTTTACATCTGATCAAACTCAACATGAAGGGCAACTCTTTGCAAAAGATCTCAGAATATGGTTTCGCTGGGTTGGAAGACTCGTTGTCAGAATTGGACATGGCTGAGAATAAGTTGCAGTTTTTTCCTATGCCAGCTTTAAGAAGATTGGAGAGGCTGCGATTGTTAAGGCTAGCTTGGAACGAGATTAGTGCCATACCTGATGATGGATACTCCAGGTTGGATTCACTTCTCTTCCTTGATTTAAGCTCGAATAACTTTGAAGTACTCAAAGAAGATTGCTTCCGACCTACACCATCTGTACGCACACTTTCGTTGTACTACAACGTTATAGAAACAGTTCACCCCAATTCGTTCATCTCATTGAACAACTTGGAATCGTTAGACTTAAGCCACAACAAGATAGTATTCTTAGATGCTACTACTTTCAACATTAACAAAAAACTAAAATCAATTGATTTAAGCCACAATCATGTGCATTACATTAGTGGAGTATTTGCAAATCTACCTGATTTAAAAGAGCTGTTCCTATCTGAAAACAATATTCTGGAGATTCCGTCGGATGCATTTACTGATTCAATTGGTATTAACGTGATTTATCTTCAGCAAAACGCGATACGACGAATAGATCCTGAAGCTTTGCAGACTTTGACGAATCTTGCTCAATTACACCTAAGCTCTAATTTCATTCCATACATCCCTCGTCAGTTGTTTTATGCCAATCGTAATTTGACCTCCTTGAGTTTGGATAGCAACTGGATTACCGACATGGAACCAGGAACTTTTGATCGTACCATGGCTCTAAGAGAAATCAGACTTCACAATAACCGGCTGCAGAATATTCATCGAGGAGTATTCGATCCGCTTCCTAGTCTTTTGGAGCTGCACTTGCAAAACAACTGGATCTCTAACATAGACTCCGGTGCTTTTAGGAGTCTTCAAAGTTTACAACACGTCAATCTTCAAGGAAATGTTATTTCTGAACTCGGAGATGTTTTCATGCATGAATCACCATCGCTGGTGTCAATTCAGCTTGATTCCAATTCAATCCTAAGTCTACATAATGATTCCCTGCGAGGGCAGTCTAGTGTTCAGATCATGTGGTTGGGTCACAATCGTTTGAGAAGTTTAGATAAAGCACTTTTCAGTGATTTGTTACTAATCCAACGAGTATATCTCAACAACAACAGTATTTCGTATATTGAAGACAAAGCTTTTGAACCGATGCAAGCTCTGAAGTTTTTGGACCTTAGCATCAATAAACTGAAACATATAAGTACAAAAACTTTTGCCGAACTACACGAGTTGGAAGAATTGCATTTGGATTATAATGGTCTGGAGACTATTGAAGCACACGCATTGACCAACCTGAAAAAATTACGAACATTGGATCTTAGTCATAACTTTATTTCAGTTATTCACGATTTGATGTTTCAAGAAGGCTTACCTATCAGATACTTAAATCTGATGAACTGTTCTATAAAGCAAATTGAAAGTGGAGCTTTCAAAGGCTTAAATAATTTGAACGATCTTAATATTGAAAGGAACGACCTTGTTTCTCAGGATCTTAAAAACTTGGACATTCCTGGTCTAAGAACGCTTAAAGTTTCACATAATAACTTTAGTGATTTGTTTTCTGGAGCTTTGGACGGGCTGCCATCTTTGCAAATATTAGGCATGGACCATTGCCAAATATCTCTCATGCCAGAAAATATCTTTAAAAATAACAAAAATTTGCTAAAGATTGATTTAAGCAAGAACGACCTTAAAGAGCTCAAGCATTCAACGTTTTTAGCTTTAAACGTTCTTAAAGAACTCAAATTGAGTGAGAATGCATTCAAAGATATTCCTTATACAGCTCTTTTAAATATAACAACTCTTGAAACATTAACTCTGGCTTATAACAACATGACTATGTTGGAATTATCCAGACTGAACGGTTTGCCGAACTTGAGAGATTTGGATTTGAAATATAATCTTATTTCATCCCTGCTTGGATTTGCTTCCTCCAATTTAACACAGTTACTATCAGTTGACTTAAGTGGAAACCTATTGGCTGCACTACCTGCAAACTTTTTTCATCATTCTCCGCTACTAAGGAGGATTGACTTATCAAAAAACAGATTCAGACAGATTCCAACATCTGCTCTTTCGGAAAATACCTTACCTGGTCTTGGTTGGCTGAATTTAACTGGCAATCCTTTAGTACGCATTCATGATATTGCCTCTGCGCACAGGTATCCTGCCCTGGAGGAAATACACATTAGTGGCACAAATTTAACAATTGTGACAAGCAAAGATTTTGAAACTTTTCCTGCATTGCTTCATGTGCATTTGGGACTAAACCGGATATCGAGAATTTCCCCAGGCGCATTCAGTGGATTACCACATCTATTGACATTGGATTTGGGCGTCAACGAGTTGGAACTTTTACCACAAGAGCGCCTCCAGGGATTGAACCACCTGAGAATATTAAATTTAACCCACAATCGATTGAAAGAACTGGAGGAGTTTCCTCAGGACTTGAGAGCACTGCAAATATTAGACTTGTCTTTTAATCAAATTGGTAGGATCAACAAATTTATGTTTCAACATTTAGAAAACTTGGCTGAACTTTATTTGGATGGCAATTGGATCTCTTCTGTTTCTTCCGACGCGTTTAAGCCGCTAAAGAAGTTGAGAACATTGGATTTAAGCAGAAATTATTTAGAGAATATTCCTTTGAATGCATTCAGACCGTTGGAAACACAAATAAGAAGTTTAAAAACTGAAGGTAAATTAACTACTGAAACTTTTTGAGGTTGACATTCATTATGAGTTAACTTGGCTTTGATGTACGTAAATTGTTTGTTGTTATTTAGAAAATCCACTATCATGTACTTGCGACTCTCAAGAACTTTGGGAATGGTTCCGTGATCACCAGAAACTTATCGAACAGGCTGATGCAAATGCAATTAGATGTGAACAACCACCAGAATTACGAGGAAGGAGGTTCTTGGATTTAGCACCTGAGCAGTTTTGCGATCAACCAATGGTACAAAGATTGGCGATACAAGACATTCAACCATTTTCAGTTTTAGTTTCCTGGCAAAGCCGGAACCACTCCGGGTTATACGGGTACCAGGTGGTTTACCATAGTATTGATGGTGTGGAGGAGGTATAAAGTGACTTCATTGATATTGAAATTGTTTTAATTTAGTTTTTAATAGATTCGTGGAAGAATGCTGGACAGGTCAATTAGGTCTACCAAATTGGGAAGATTGTATCCTGGCACTAGGTACCTAGTATGTGTTCTAGCTCTAGGCAACTGGGCTACAAGAAGATTCCGGCCTGAATCCAAGTTTGGTCGTCTTGATCCAAACATGTCAGACAACTGGGAGTCGTTTACTGATGCCATGCTTCCACTTTTGGTTGACACACCAACAAGTCGATGCAACGAGGTACTTGTTTCAGTTTAGCTATTCTACTATAACTATTGTTCAATTACAATGTGTTTGCTGATAGGTGACCACCTTGGGAGCCCCTGACAGTATCCACGGAGAACTGGGCAGTCTGCCAGACCATTCCATGGGAATCCAGTCCATCCTCACGCGTCGACTAGGTTTGATCATCGGATGCTGCATGGGTTTTATTGTGTTCATCGTGCTTGTCTCCGTATTGGGCTACTTGAAAGTCAAAAAGCAACGGGCTGCCATCAAACGCGATCAACAGGCTGTTCCTCCGGAGTATTTGTCCTACAGGCATTTTTCCATCCAAAGTGGTGAAGCCAATCGGGAGCAACAAGGTGGTCATCCGCACTTCATCACCAATATGAACACAACACTTAACTAGAAATGTGGAAGAACCAAAATGTTGATGGGTAATTTATCGCTCATTGAGTAAACTTCAAAATGAATATTTAACTCCCGTAAATCAAAGACAGTGGAAAGTGACATTACAGTGATTTTGTGATAATAAATTAAATTAACATTACGTTAAACTAATCTATTCTTAGGTGTAAAGTGTGAGAAGTCAGGAGGGAAAATATAGTCAATTGTTAGTAGTTTTTTGACAATTCGCTTCGATTGAACATTCGTTTCGACTTTATCTTCGCAGTGCCACAATCAGTCGAGTAAAGTGTGTTTAACAAAAAGACAATTGCAACAACTTAGAGTGCGTTTTCCTGCAGTTAAGTGTTCAACATTCCAAGCAAAATATCTAAATAATTGTCATTAACAAATTAATTCAAAAGTAGTGAAAACTGCACAACTAGTAAATGATAATCAATTGTTCCAGAATCTCCGAAATAACGATTACTTAAGATCTAAGATGTAAGACTTAAGTTCAGATACCTTCCAATAATCAACCGTATACAGGGTGTTTCAGAAAGAAAGAAAAGCACCTAAATATGAATGTTTCTTGTCAGATGAAAAATACCAGTATATAACAAACGCAAAATAAAAAGTAATTACTAAACGTACTCGTAAACTAACCTAAATCTTAAATCTTAAGAAAATGTACAAGAACAAGTCGTCCCAAGTTAACAATGCGCCAGTGAAGCAACAATTTGTACATAAATCTAGCCAGCATGAGACTCAAAGCGCATAAATAAATAATAATTAATTGTACGACTGATACCAAGCCGCCCTCGAAGAAGTTAGGAGCTGGCCGATGATTTGTAACAAATCTAACGCTCAGAAGCGTTCGGTTTAAATATCGATTTGACCTCAAAATGGGGGACTCTGCTAAGTATATTAATTATAATTTATATCGATATTATTACGATATTTATTGCTTATTTTCCCGAAGTAATGTTTGTCAATTAATTTTATATTTTCTATTTATATTGATATTTTCATTACAATATATTATATATTGAAATCGTATTTGAATAGTAATACATTGAATTAAATTAATTAAATTATTAATTATATTCTGTTAAATTACAATGTGACTTTTGGTTGTGCAGTTAATGAAATTATTAATTTACGGCAACTACTAAAATTATTAAACATGAATATTGACTTGTATAGATAGACGATGATGATAAATTTATATTATATCGATATAATGATTGAGAGAAATTGTCAACATCAAAATTACCAATTGGACACGAAAGTATGTATCATATTAGTAAAAACAAAATGTAATAATAAATGAAAGTTTGTTGTATGTATACACTTTATTATTTCAAGCCCCAAATTTAAAGTTGTGTGTTAATTTAAATAAAAAGTAAATAAATCTTGTTCAGGAATAAACCGCGTGATAGTAAATTTCAGAGAATTGCGGCGAATGGCACCGCGAATTGCGCTTTAAAACAATAACGCTTTGTTGTTAACTGCGTGCAGCCAAGTGTGCAATGCCGCTTCCAAAACGGCGACAACCGCCGAAACACATGAACTTCTCCGGGCAACACCGGAAAACACGAAGCGACGTGAGTGGGAAGTGCACCCTGGAGTATACTAAACCTGCAAATACATGTAACGCGTGGAACAAAGGGGTTACGCAGAGAAATAAAGCTTACCAATCAATAAAAACTACCTCAACATCAAAACAAACACCTCCGTGGCGTTTATTTACGATGTCTCGCTTGAGAATTTAGTGAAACTGATTTTAATGATGTCAGTGTGAAGGATTGTAACTGCTGTTGGTCATTCGAACATCCTCTACAACGCGTACCATTCTTGGACATTATGCTCTATCGACTACGATATGTTGCGATGCGATATCCTCGGTCCATTGCTTCATCCGCTTCGATGGAGAATGAGGAAAGGGTGTTAACGAGTCCTTAGGGTATCGTCCCTACAATCCTTGCTTCCTCATCTTTGCATCTACATCTTTATCCTATCCTCGCAACATTTTCGCATCGTTGAAGATCAACCAGCTTTCCGACTCGTTGCTGATCTTTACACCTTCAAACGGCTTTGGGTCGTCCCCACGAGGATTAGCTCCGGGGCAAGGTCAAGAAGTTGTACATCATCATCAAGTAACATATTTTCTGTTTAACGTATTTATTGATTAGTCACGAAGGCAACTGCAATTAGATAACAAACATTAATCCCGCTGGGAATGGAACCAATTCGTCTTGAGGTATTACCGCATTACCTTCGCGCGGCCAATGCGGTCAAATCGACATCTGAACATCCAGCACACATCCGACATTGACTGCTCCACCTAATTCCAACAGCCACAACATCGACCAATTCGAATAAATCCCGACCTCGACTGACATTATGCAACCGAACTACAAGTATTTCCAACTACCCTTTACAACGCTACAACTGACTTTGAGCTGGGAACTGAGAGCTGGGGCAACTGGTTTGTAGACGATAACTAATCCCAATGGCTACTGGCGTGCTATACCGATGACCAGTGACGCAGGCAGCGGGAATATCCAGTCAAAGAACACGATCCTGATGCAAACTTGCCCGCCGGCGAGTCCTTGTGTTCGCTCCCTCTTTAAGTTGAGCTTCCACGCGCGTCGAAACGTGAACATTCTATAAGCGGTCTGACCATCCGGATAGTTATAATTGCGGTGCGCCGCTGTCCGTGATTAAATGCACTCGGGGTAGGTAAAGACATTTAAATAATTAATACGCCTGCAGGCCAGCATCCAAGCCACACATAAAGCACACAATCAAACTTTTAAATTGAAATGTTAAATTTCTTACAACCCAGCGACAAGTAAATAGAAAACACTTTTCTTAATACTCTAATGTTGTATGCGTAAATAAGTATGAAAAGTGTCATCTTGAACATCTGCATCAGCCATCTTGTCCCCCAGTGAAACTAGCCAACTTTGCTTGCTGCAAACTTGGCTAATGCACAGTAATCCAATTTTAAATGCGCCCGAACGAACGAAAAGTTTGCGACGTGAGCTTGAAGAAGACTGTAATAGAATAGAGCTTATCACAATGATAGGGTAGTTGGAGAACTCCTAAGCTTCTCTATCTTCATAACTAAATAATGTATGTAGGAATATTTTGTATATGCGTTGATTAAAAAAAGTTTGTATTCAAGCAACTAACGCTGTTTACTTGATGTGTAGTTAACGAAATGGACGCAACGCTTTCAACCTGCAGGATTGAGTGCTTTCTGCAATAGTGCACGACTACAGTTCTCGTTCTACACCTCCGGTTACCCGTTTCTCGTTTCCACATTTCATGTTCGAGCAGATCTCCTTCTCCTTCGTTCTGTCTTTCTACATGCGCGTTTCAAAAAGCTTCAACGCTGCCACCCACCGCTTTCCTTTACGAACTCTTTCAAGCTCCATCCAAGCGCAATCCAAGCATCATCCGAGCATTTTTCCACTGGCGTGTTTTTTCCGCCGCTTTTTATATTCAACTCTGAACCTAGAGGTGTGGAGCATATGTGTCTCTAGGTTTAAAGCTTGCGTTGGCTTGCAGCTAGACGTAAAGAGAAATTGCCGTAACGCGTACTGGCTCAAGGTAGGAACGGCATCAGTACGAAAGCAAGAAAAAAGAACGCACGCAGAGAACATTGAAAGAAATCATTTATACGTAAAGCGAGTCGTTCCAGACGGGCGAGAAAGCTCCTCTTCTCCCTGAAACGCTCCATAAACGCAAACGCAAACGGCGTGCGATTTCCCAGCTCGGCAAACGTCCGCACTTCGTCAGGGAGGCGGGCGTCGGAAATACTCTCCTCTCTCAGCTGCAAGCTTAACTTTCAAGTGCGTACACACGTTTAGATGGTATTTTAGATAGCTATTCATTCGTTTTCATCATTCACAGCGTAGATTTAGAGATTTGATCTTTTCATCATTTCTCTCGCGCAAATTAAAAACATTATTAACATAAATACGCAAACACAAACGCACTCAAATATTTATTATACTGAAAAACATCAAAAACAAAAATTCGTTACGTAAAACAAAAAACAAATCATTTTATAATACTACTTTTTCAAATCCTATGTTCCACTGTATGCATCCAATCATACAAGAAGACAAACAACATTGCCTAAATTAAAGTGATGAATACTTCAATATTAGAATAGCTGGAATATATTTGTTTATTTATAAATATCAGCCAAACTTTTATGATCACTTGGTAGATTTTTATCTTGCCATCCCCAGATCAATTCTGCTTGATTTTGTTTCCAGTTACCATCGCCAGTTCTTTGCACTCGTTGTCGAATTAATTTTTCAGAAACAGTCTTCAATTCGTAGGCCCAGCCAATTTTCGCAAAACAATTGATAATAAAAAGCGTGAAATTAAATGTATAATTGCCCAATTCAGCCGCTTTATAATCCCAGGGGAAGACATGATGGTAATTGTGAAATCCTTCACCACATGTTAAATGACTTACAATAACATTCTCGACTGGCCCAATATTTCTAGAATGTGTATTTATAGTTTTGACATAAAAGCTAAGTAATTTGAAGAAATAATACCTATCGTATGGCTTTGTTCCAAAAATGTGCGCAGCACTATTAACCAACCAAGTCATATGCACACTATATATGTACCTTAATGAACCTCCAATTGCCCAACAATGACTCAGTTCTTCTCCAGTTAAATATTGAATTGTAAATACCGGAAGAATAAAGGCACAAATGGGCATTAAGTATTGATAATATCTATAAACAAATGAATTTGCATATTTCACGTACACATTCAAACATAATAAAATATTTAATACAGACCTGTGTTGAAACATTAACAGTGGATCAGATGTAATATCAGACATATCAATTGACCGACCTTTTTTTATTACTTCCGGATGTTTTCGAACAAACAACCATCCCATGTGGGAAAAGAAGAAACCTTCAAAAACGTTCATACGAATATAAAATTTAATTTAGAGAATATTTGAATACCTCGTTTGGCATTATGCGGGTCAGCGTCAGTATCAGTATATTTATGGTGTAGTCGATGATCTCTAGCCCAGACAAAAATACTATTCTGGAAAGACGCAGTTTGCAAAAACACTAATAGAATTTTCAATGGAAGTTTCACTTTGAACGATCGATGAGACCACAATCTGTGGGCACCTGCTGTTATACCTTGTGCGTGTGATAAGCAATAAATAAATGCTAAAAATGCAAAAATATTAATTACTTACTTTCGAAATAATTCTGAAACTTTACCTAACGTAAGCAGTAAAAATTTCTTTTCAAAAACAATCAAATATATTCCATGCAAAGCGGAAAGGTGCAAAACAGCAAAAACTATGACATTGGTCCAGACTATATCAGCACTGGAATTTTTCGAAAAACTTTCACACTTTTGTTGCGTTCCTGAAACATCCGAACTTTCTGTGCTAACTTGTGATTTAATATTCTTATAGATTTTGTTTTCTTTAATTTGAGTCTCTAACAATCCATATTGTGGATTGAACATTTTAACTAAAACTGTAAAAAATAATGTATGCGTTGGAGTGTTACCAGACTACTGAGCACAAATTGCGTATTAATGTAGAAACTGCTGATTAAAATTCAGCAAAGTTGCAAGTTGTAAAAATTGAAACTGCAGTTTTAGCAAATTTAAAGTAAAGAAATGTAAAAAGGTTAACGAGGTACATGTATAATTAGTTAATTGAATCAATATTAAACATTATTTCTTTTATTAAATAACATTAACATGTTTTATTCTATAATAAAATTATCAACAAATTAAAGTCCTTTTTAACAATAAACCAAGTTTTCTAAATAAGAATAAAAATTCTATACATGATGTTTAACATTGTTGTAAAAATATATTTAAAAAGGTTTCATTTTGTCTTAACCTAGTGTGTTGGTGATTTGTGCGTATTTTAAATGCTCTTCGCTAATATCCTTATCACCCCATCCCCATATCTCCTCGCCATCGCAATGCTTATGATGCACGTTTTGATTTTTTCGCCGATTCTCCTGTTTCTGATTTTCGTACAATTTGCCATCGTTTCGACCCTCTTGTCGAGAGCCATCTCCGGTTCGAGCAACTCTCCGTTCAATCAGCTCCTTAGAGACGGTCTTGAGGTCGTAAGCCCAGCCAATCTTGGCAAACCAATCAATTATGCGCGTGCTTATATTAATGTGGTAGCCGAATTCGGACGCCCTGTAATCCCATGGGAAAACGTGGTGGTAGTTGTGCCATCCTTCACCGAACGCCATTACAGCCACGAATTTATTTTGCGATGGACTCATAGTTCTATTAACAATAGAATTTAAGATTAAAATTATATTAAATTTAAATAAAATGCATTACTTGTCATAAGGTTTGAGTCCATAAATATGTGCAGCGCTGTTTACCAACCATGTTCCGTTCAATGTCAATGTGTATCTTGCTACTGCGCAAACGTACCACGAAACAAACAGATCCTCGTTCCACAAATAGAATGGAATTAATGTTGGTAGCACAAAGCAACAAATTGGCATTAGAATTAAGTAGAATCTGAAATAGTATATGTTGAACTAACAATAATTTTCGATTATGCGGTGAAGCATGTGCAGGTGCACGCACAATTTGTGGTTAAATATCTAAACGTATAAAGTGCTTGAAATTGCTCTTCAAATAGACTTTCACTAGCGAGATATTCGTTGAACTTTTCAGGCGAGTTGTGGCATGCTCAAGCATCACTTTAGTACTTGGTAATAATTGTGAAAGTAAAAACAGAGAAAACGTGTAAAACTTACTTTTTCTGGAAGCGCACAATCGGATCCTCAAGCAGATCGGACAAATCTACTGATTTCCCTTTTATCGTGATGTCTTTGTGTTTCTTAACAAGCAACCAACCCATATGTGAAAAGAAAAATCCTAAAATTTGTATTTTTATAACTGATTTTTTAATAAACTACTACTTTTACCTCTTTGAGCATTATGTGGATCAGCATCAGTATCGGTAAATTTATGATGAACTCGATGATCTCTCACCCATTCGTAAATGTGATTCTGAAACGCCATAGTCTGCCAAATCGCAAGTAAAACACGCAACGGCCATTTTGCTTTGTAGCATCGATGTGCCCATAACCTATGTGCACCCGCCGTTATGCCAATACCAGACATTAGAATCAACGCAGACACTACAGATAATTTCATTTATGTTCAAAACTTTGTTAACGCAAATATTTTGAATTCTGTTTACCAAAAAATGCAGTTTTCCATTGTACAACCGCGAAAAACAAGTAAATTCCATAAAAAGCAAATGTGTGCAGGTAAATCATGCCAAAAACATTTCTCCAAACAATATCCCATTTATATTGCTGCGAATTTTGTTGATTGTTGGATGATAACTTGTTGCTGTGTCCAGGATACGTTAAAAATGGTTTGTCTTGTAGGAGTGCATCATCGTTCTCATTGGTAACTTCAGCTAGGAAGAGCGGTGACATTGTCGGCGCCATTTTGCAAAACACTTTGTACTAAAACCAATTATGAAAGTGCAGGAATTTATAGCGTTTATAACAATTACAACTATAAATATTTATACTGTATACAAACAATGTCTATTCAATAATTAGTCGAATCGTTTGTTTATAGAATACATAAAAACTGCATTGTGATTAAACAAAACAAATAATGCATGTATTTATTATTGTTTCTTCAGCACATCCACCGCTATCTGACACCAGATGGTGCTAGTTAGAAACAAATAACTAACATTTGAATCCAATATTTTTCCAGTTTCAACTTATTACAGTATAATTAGTTATAATTAAACTCACTAGCCAAAGAAGTTTAAAACGCAATATGCTACACGTACTAGAATCTGCTGAGCGAAAAGAAATTTAGAAAGTTAGCGACTTAACGGCATAGATGCATTTGCAAAAATATCAGTCATGCAAGTTCAAACGAGTGTGTACGAGAACTGGAGGTTAACACCACAAATTATCTTAAATATGACGCGTTAGCTATACAATTATTTTATCATTTATCTGCAAATTTCACCTTTAACATTTTGCACATGTCAAATATTAGATATTGCTAATGGAAAATCTAAATTAATAATTTTCACGTGTCAAAAATTTGCAGGAACTGCAATTGTAATTCATTAGTTTTCAATCGATTCGATTAGCATTAACCCAATTAAAACAGACACATCCGGCCTGCGTAAGCTTCCTCGCGCTCGTGTTCGTGCACTAGCATAAAATGAACGTTTGAATATGCCAATCGAAGCTTCACATACGTGTAATACTGGCCGTATTAATCAACTTATTGACAAACACGTATATATATATATATATATATATATCTAACGCATAAGTTACTAAGTGTGCTGCAACCGCAATTAAGCGCCTTGTCGTCGTCTGACTGATTATAATTAACTCAGTGCGATATTGTGCACAGGACGTCCAGAGGATCAATATCTATTCTAATCAAATCCATAATAGCCTATTTCATTGACCCATCATTAAAGAAGTAGACAGTGAACATAAATACAAAGGAATTTATACATTTAATACGTAAAAAGATTGAAATGTGCAGTGGGTTGCCTATATTAACTTGTTTTTAGGTTATAACATATTTATTTGATATTTATAAACTAGAAAGGAGCACGCAGAAAATCTTATGTAAAGTAATAGCTTGAAGTGAAAGATAAATGAATGGATAAATAGCAGAAAAATAAATATTGCCGTTATTAGCATCTTAAAAAGTTTTCCGCATCCGTATGTTTCTTAAAACTTACCCGTCCTCAATATTTTCCCAATAAAAACACAATATAATTAATTTATTAATTAAAATCCCAGTATGTAAACAAATTCAAATTTAAATCACTGATTTTACATGAATTTGCAATTTCCTTTGACAATTCTATGTGTTTTAATTCAAATTTTGTTTATTTAACGGAAACGTAACTTTTAGTTTATGGAATTGAAACGGAACTGCGTCTTTCACTTCTGGCCTTGCTTGCGATCTTCTTCTTGTTCCAGAGACACGCGAGATTCGCGAGACTTTGCGGACGCCTTTCGACTGCACTCGAAGACTCGAGGTGGCATCGATTTTATAACATTGAACTTGAGACCGGAGACGCCGATGCACACGCATGCAGAAACAGCAAATCGAAGAAGGTGTAAGAAACGGCAACGTCAAGCGGTTTGAAGAATGGCACATGCTATACAAGCTATATGGTAAGACAAGGAAATCGTGATTATCTCGATTTTAAAGTCGCAAGAGAGATGACAACGATGCATTAAGCAAATAGCGACAGATAAAGAGAAAAGAAGATTTAAATGCAATTGTACAGCTTTCCATGGGTTATTGAATTTATTGGATATTTAAACAAAAGATGAATAACTTATATCAAATTTAACTAAAAGTAGAAATTATATTAAAAATTGAGAAAATTAAATTCGTTTCAGAAAAAAAATTAAGAAACTGCAGTTTTGCAGTATAATCTTAAATTTAAATCGTTTGTTAAAAAGACATGCATTTATATTTTCAGTTTGACCCAATGACCTAAATCTTTGTACCTCTTTGTGATCATCCAGTTCAGTACAACTGTTGCACTTCTGTAGCGTCCGCCGCTCACCATCGTTAAAATACTTTTTTATCTCCTACTCCATCTCTTAAATAGTCAATTCCTCTCATCAAAGTCATAACACGTTTATAATTAATTCATGATCTATTGGTGTTATCCAGTAAATATTTACGAGTTCGCCAACGGCACAGTCAAAGTTGATTGCAACTTAGTAACCTACTTATAACACGTTTCGTTTTGTGTCTTCGTGCAGCTTAAAATGCTATAAGACGACGGAGACTTTGCGAATTTGTGCAACACTAGATAATTGGTCACAAGCGCATTCTAGGTCATCGAATATTAAATTGTTGTTATTTATGGGATCTCTATAATTTATTAACAAATTTTATTGTCTGCCAAAATAATAACATCATCATAATTTTTATTGTCTCGTTTTTTTATATAAATGTAATAAGTAATAAATTTCACTTTCGGTTTTTTTCTTAAATTGTTCGGTGCTTTCTGTGAATGTTTTTGTTTTATGGCGCAGTGAAAGAAAAGCTAAGTGAAAACGTCTATTTTTTGTTTTCATGTAAATAAATTCATGCAATTTACATTTCTATATTACCACTGAAATGGTCTTCTATACAATAATAGTATTATCTGAACATGCACATACAATACTTATTAGTTTTACTTTCACATATCGTACAGTCTTGCCAATAAACGAAGCATATCTTGTCAGCGGATATGCATAAAACAGTAAACAAATGATGACAGGATATCTTCATACATTTTATCATGATTAGTATTCATTTGTATTGGTCACATTTCTATATTCCATCAAAATGATTTAAGCAGTAATTTAACCAAAACAAGAGATGTTTTTTATCAATAACCTAAATGTTATGGATTAATAACTTCTAATTATGATGACTTAATATTAATGTTTTTATTTGTAGTGTATTTTTCTTTTTCTTTAGCCGTGACTACTTAATGTCTTTGACAGCCCGACAACTCGATTGTAATAATGACATGAAAATGTGTACCTTCGGTCATTTGAATTAAACACTCATTACGCACCGGGCATTTGATTGTTGTGAGCAAGCGGAAAAGGCGTGCGTAATGCTCGCTGGCGCAAGAATTGTGTCAATAAATTCGAAATTTGAACGCGTCCGGCGTTCCGGGAAAACGCAATCGATTCACACGCGGGCTCCGAATGTCAAATAAATATGCCATACTGTGGCACATTGAGTACATCAATCAAAAGGTCATGAACACAAATATTAAGCCAGTTTTTGGTGGCCAGTAGGAAAACAAAAATCAAACAAAAAAAGTCGGAGTGAAATGCTATTATGTATGATATGATTGTTAGTCATTGAATATTTTTGCTGAAACGTGAAGCGTGAACTCAGAATTCCTCTTATGAAAGTAGGGCTTGTCTTACTTTTATCTTTTTAGTTAAACTTGTTTTATGTTTTTGTTCAGTGTAATGTCCACCTGCAAGAAAAACCAGTTTATAGGGCTTCTGCAGTATTCGTGTTTTTTTTTTACTTTATTGTGTATCAAATTTTTTTCATTACTGAGTCTTCTTTTATGTCTTCACCGTATTATTTTGGCTATTCGCTGTTTGCGACATGAATATTTATGTCGCATTAACATAATACTTTTTCATTATAGAGTTAAACAAAACAAAGCCGCAATAAATAAATAGATAACAAAGCCACTTGATATACTAAGTCGACAATCAAAAGGAAAGTCTCTTTGAATTCCAACGCGCAAGCAATGACAAACGAAAGTAAAAACCCATGATTCATTTATTGATGTCACGTAACTCTTATCAAAATTTCCCTATACTAGAAGCAAATACAGGATACTGTATAGATAATAAATTTTTATTCATGTCTTGCACACCTGCGATCAGTCATCGTTTGTCCGCATGTCTACCCGATCGAATTGCGTACACATTCGGTAACGACACGTGAACAATTGAAGCAAACCACAAGCCACCCACGCATGCCCTGCGAGTTGTAGTCAGTTTGAATCCGAGGCACTGAATTACATCACGTCGCGCCGCTAGTTGCGCGCTTCCACTTCCCAATCATCGAATTCTTTTTTCATTTCTTCTTAGCGCGTCCTACATGCAACACGCGTCTACTAATCCAAAGCATTGAAAAAGTGAAAATATTTTGATAGACCCACAACATGGTTGAATCATTTTTATATTAAAATGTACTAAAGAAAAGAAGAAAGAAGAAATTGAAGTGTTTAAGTGCAAGTTTTAACTGGATATCATATTAACTGGAATTATACGTAAGTATTGATGACAATAAATTTTCCTATTATATTTAAGATATATGTATTTCATCTCGCACACAGCAATCAATTCACTATCAAACAAAAGGTAATAAACGTATTATTATTATTATTGTATTGTTTAACGAAACAATTCAGCAAGAAAAACGGAGATTCTAAAAATCTTTTTAAATCATTACAATAAACTATAATGGCAGTTGTAAAGTGAAATTAAAAATATGACTACCAGTTGAATATCCAAAAGCACTTTTCATTAACGTTTAATATCCGTTGCTGTATTTCCAATTTAGAAAATGATTCCCATCACATGCAACGGTGCAGCGGTGATAAATTAAAAATCAAGGTAACTTCATATATCAGAATATACGAGTAAGTTCTGCTTAACTCCGGAAACAGGAACAAATATATATGAATAACACCGCATAGCATTGTATTACACAATGTTTAATGGGTATTTTTCTTCCAAAAACAATTTCAACACAATTATAATAAAATGACACGCAAAGCAAAGCAAGTAACAATAAAATAATAAACAATGACGGATTCACAATAAATACGGACGTATTCAGGTTAATATGAAAATAATTGAAGACAGAAATTACATTTTGAAAATGCAAAAATTTTATAGTAGGAATGTAACACGAGAAACATGCGTGAGTGCTAATTTCATTAGCGCGCCGTTAGATGATGTTCATAACGATATTGAAGTGTACTGATCCCTGTTGACCAATATAATAATGTCATCCGAAACTATCCAGGCAATGCGTGCGTGTTTGCCAATTAGAATTGACTCGTCTGGCGTCTCGAGAACGAGGCAGTGAATGGAAAAAAACATTCAATAATAAAATCGATAAACTTGATGTTATCAGGCCCAGTCTGAACAAACCAGAACAAATTGGTTTGTCAATGTTGTCATCCAATGATTCATTTTAGTTATTCCACATGTGTTTTTAAATTGGAATAAGAGTGTGCGTAAAGTTTGCAACATGTGTGCATATAGCACGGAAATGATGTCGTTATTATTGAAGTGATAAGCCGCTGCTAGTCGCACCGGTGCGATAAGAGCTTACTAAAACTTTCCCACTGACATAATTCAATGTTTATCGATATATGCAATGTGTATGCCTACTTTGTTTGCACAAGAAGGTGGAGAGCGATAACGAACACTAAAGCTAGATGGCCTAAATAGATTCTAATTGTTTGCCACTTTTTCTAGGAGTTTAAAAATGACTGAAGGTACAGATACCGGCAACGATTCTGCAGCTACTACTTGCGTTGAAAACAATCATTGTGAGCGGACTAAGTTGATTGAACCTGTAGTTGAATCTGAGAAAGTCATAGATGGGAACGAAGGTAACCATGGCTTAGCAATCTCAGGCGGAACGAAAAGTGAAAAAGAAAGCGAAGAAGATGTTTTCGTGTCGAAAATTAGATGGCCAGACCTGTTGGTTCAACTGTTTATCCACATAGGTTTCATCTATGGCATGTACCTTGTGTTCGTAGATGCTAAGTTTTATACCAGTTTATTTGGTAAGTAAAAGGTCATTGACCATGCACATTTTATATGTTTGTGTATAAGATGTTTTCTGTACTTTTCACGAAGACAGTGTTTAGTGTAGAGACAATAAGCGATGTTCATTGACTCAATTGCTTTGACCATCAATTAATGAAACGCTTTCATGGCATGCAATTGTGAGGAATTTATTTGATATTGATTTTATTTCCTTTAATACAATTCGTGAATAAGCTGGTACAGTTTTAATCGAGAAGTTGCAGCGATGATAATTAAAAGGCATCGCTGTTAAGCTGTATTAAGCATTAAGCATTAGTAATTTTAATTCAATTGACTGGAAATAAATTGATTTAAAAACATTAAAATTAAAGAGCTTTTGAGAAGCATTGCGTCTATATATTTATTTTATTTTGTTTAGCATTTTGCACAATTTACACATCTGGATTTGGAATCACCGCTGGTGTTCATCGACTATGGTCACATCGTTCCTACAAAGCTAAATGGCCATTGAGATTAATTCTCATAATTCTATTTACTATAACAGGACAGGTAATTTAAACTAGTTTTGTTGTTCTAATCTATGCAACCAACTAAACACAAAATTCATTATTTTGTTATCAGAGAGATGCCTATACCTGGGCATTAGATCATCGTATACATCACAAATATACTGAGACAGATGCAGATCCACACAATGCCAATCGAGGATTCTTCTTCGCACACGTCGGATGGCTTGTCCTAACGCCTCATCCAAAAGTAGTAGCAAAACGAAAAGTTATAGACGTCGCTGATTTAGAAGATGATGCAATTGTCATGTGGCAAAAAAAATATTATTTAATTCTGTTTCCGCTGTTTGTTCTCTTTCTGCCCGTGTTCATTCCTATCCACTTTTGGAATGAAACACTATGGAATTCATTCTGGGTGAATTTCAACGCGCGATTTTGCATTACACTCAATATTGCCTTCTTTGTAAACAGTGTTGCACACATGTGGGGCAATAAGCCATATGATCAGTAAGTTATCAAGCTATAAACAATTAAAATTAATATTAATGAATGGTATTTATCTTTGTTTAGATATATTAGTTCGGTGGAAAGTTTAGGAGTTTCTATAGCTGCATTGGGTGAAGGTTGGCACAACTATCATCACGTCTTCCCGTGGGATTATAAAACCGGCGAGCTTGGTAACAGGTGGAATCCTTCAACGCACTTTATTAACTTTTTCGCCAAAATTGGTTGGGCTTATGATTTGAAGAGCGTCTCCGCGGATATGGTTGTGCGCAGAGCAAAAAAAACCGGTGATGGTACTCCAATTTGGGGATATGGTGATAAGGACATCGAACAGAATGATTTGAAAGACTTACATAACATGGAAGATCAAAAAACTAAATAGAAAACTTAAAAACATTATTTTTTAGTACAAACATCTAATAAATTTACGAGATAAAACATTTACAACTTGATTTTAATATAAAACAAACTTTTGACCTAGGCAACCCAAAATACTACCATTATACAAATTTGGAACTAAACCGACTTATATTAAAATAAACACGATAAAATCTGTTGATAATTGCGTATTATGGTTTATTACGCGGTAAATCTTAGAAGTGAATAGCACAATCGCCTTTCAAAACTGCTGATCAAGTGTTTCATGTTACAGACACAAACTGCTTACATGCTCTCGAATGTGAGTTCAGTATGCATTATAATAAAATTCATGCGGTGTCACTGGAAGTAAGAAACCGTTACCAGAGTCGTCGAACACGCGTATATAATAAAACAAAAGCAAACATGAAATGCCAATCATTGCACATTCATTACTTAAAATTCATTAGCGGGCATTGTCGCGATCATTCCGTGCATTGTATGCAAAGGACGAACGTACAACGATTGAGTCGATTCAATCGCATAATTTGGTAGAATTGAATAAAATTTTGCGTGTTAATATCGTTGAGATTATTTTTTCGTGCTGCCTGCTTAATATTTTGTTGCATTCGTCATTTGTGTGTCGTGTGTGATGGTTGTGTTTTAGAACACCTCCAGAGAGTCTAAAAGTTTCAAAAGTTAAATTTTAGTTCAATTTGGCAATTAGGGTAATAGTAAAATGACGACTACAGAGACAGTTATGGAACTCACAAGAGAAGAAAACGGCAAATTGACTGTGCCTGAAAAATTGAAAAAAGATTTTGATTGGTTTAAAGTTATTTTATTCTTGCATCTAAATGTTTTATCATTGTTATCGTTGTATTTATGCACGCTGGCAATGATTAGAACTGTTTTATTCTGTATGTGTTTAATAATTAATATTATTTATATTTTACTTACTACATTTTATGCGTATTTTAGTACTAGTGGTATCATTTGTGGGACTTCTTGGTGTTACTGCCGGAGCGCACCGATTATGGGCCCACAGATCATACAAAGCCTCCAAAGGATTGAGAATATTTCTTATGTTGTGCCAAACTTTAGCAGGACAAGTAAATTTTTCCATTTTGCCGATAATTAACAGATTTATTAAAAATAATTATGTTACAGGGCAGTATCTACACTTGGGTTTTAAAACATCGAATTCATCATCGTTATTATGGCACAAATTTTGATCCCTACAATCACAAACGTGGTTTCATCTACGCTCACTTTCTTCAGTTTTTGGAAAAACCACATCAGTATCAAGATCTCTTAGAATCCGAAATTGACATGTCAGATATGGAAGAAGATGAAGTTGTTATGTTCCAACACAAGTAATGTCATGTTTTTGCTGTATTTATTTAGTTTGTGTTAATTATTGATTATTTTAGATATTACTACGTATTCTACGCTATTCTTTTTATTCTACTGCCGATGAACGCCCCCGCTGAGTACTGGGGTGAAGACGTCGTCCTTTCAATTATGATTATGGGTTGGCTGAGACAGTATATTGTCCTAAACCTTGCTTGGTTGGTGCATAGCGCAGTTCTCATTTGGGGCCTTCAACCTAACGAACGCTATCCATGTGATACCAATATGGTATTTTTCGTGAATAAAACTTTCTGGATTCCTTACCATTACATGGCCCCTTGGGATTATCTTACCGGCGAATTTGGCAAATATGCAACTGATTTTACTAGTAATTTTATCAGGGCCTGTGCCGCTGTAGGCTATGCTTCTGAACTGAAAACTGTAGACAGTGATCACATTAAGGAAGCTATTTACAAGGCTGCTATTGGAGAGAAGTCGTTAGCCCAGTGTTTGAATGATCTGGAGCATTTAAGCATCGAGAAGGAATTGTATTTGAAACCTTGTAATGTCATGATGTAATTATTTTATAACAGAAAAAGTAATTTATTGGTGTGAAATATATTGCAGTTGCTTGTTTCTCCTTTGTAGTAAAACTTTTTTTGATATAATTTGAAACTATAGTAATCTAAAATAATAGTTGTATCTATAAAATTTGAAGCAAAATTAATTCCAAAGAATTATAGCATTAAGAGATTTCTTTCAAAATTTATCAAAGGTTCTAATATGGTGTGTTCTGCGTATTCCATAACTGTAAATAGTAAAATTAATTTGTGGTGTTATTCTGAGCAGCACCCGAAGTGCCGTACTGTCGAACGAAGGCAAATTGCAATTCTGAGTGCCCAACGGAGGTCTTTTGGAGGGTTCGGGTCGCCTCAATTTTTCGAGCAGCTTGAGGGTGCCGATAGCCTTCGTAACATGTTGTACGCATGCGCTGCTCTCTTGGCGCGGGTGAAACTGCCTTACCGCAGCTCTTCGTTCTCACTCACAACCGCACTCGGTCGTCTGCTGTCTCAGTCTGCCTATTCATCGAAATTGGTAAGTGGAATATTTTGCCGAGCCGTGTGCTCAGCAGATGTGAAAAAAGATGAAGATGACAAAGAATTGCACGCATCGAGTGTATCTGTATTTTTCAAATGCAAAATTCCACGTTTTCAAGCAAAAATTTCAAATTAAAAAAAAACTCGTAAAACAAATAAATTTGAGATGAATATTTTGTCAATTTTTCACAAGTATTTGCTGATAATGAGCCAAATACGTAGCATATAAAAGATTATTTATATTTTTTGATTGTGTTTCTTCAAAGGTAATTTAAAAATCAAAACAATGAACAATAACAACTTTTGATTGCGACTTTTCAAACGTCAGTATTGAACCGAAATAGAAATAATAAGTATTAACACATATTTGTTGCTTATTTGAATAATTGAAGAACCCATACATTTGAAACTCGCGCGCTTTCTGTCAAATTTTAGGGTGCAGCGGGATTGACTTTAGGTAAAGATATAGATGCGCGCTCAGAATACCACTTAAGGCCGATCCATAACTTCGCCGTACGAAGCGTCTTGGAGCTTTCGTACGTTCGTTTGTTAAGTGGTGAACACAGAATCGCACCATTGGTTATAAAACGGCCCGTATCGTAAGAACTAATTGTCTTATTTCGAGTTTCTTACTGTCATAACAGCCAGTAATACTGTACATACCATATTAATAACCTAAACCTTCAGGAAGTGCTCTGAAATGTCCATTAAAAATTAATGTTTTATTAATGGAAAACAGGGTGTAAATAACATTTAATTATATTATCGTATGCAATGCATATCTTTTAACACTTCTTGTCTAGCAAATTCAATTTCTTGTTAAAAAAACGAGTTAAACTAATATTTAAAATTAATTCCATTAAAAAGCTGGGCGGCAACTTTTATTTAAAAATTAGTTTTGATCGAACAACAGGGTCCTACCATCAGAAGGTTTAATGTTTAAAATCTATTTCAAATGACCAAATTAGTATAATTTTTTATTAAAGTTTTTATTCAGTCAAAATTTAATGTTTGATTCTTAAATTTCTGTTTATGATTTTACTGTCATTCACGTTTTATATTCATTAAATTATTATCATTTAACTGCCAAAAGTCCATATTATTATTATTTGTATCAACATTCCTACAAAATCTGGGGGCTCAACCTATGGACTGACTACAACATCTGGAGGCTAAACCTAAGGACTTGCTGCAAAATCTGAAGGCTCAACCGAAAGACTTTCTATGAACATTGAGTGTGTGAGTGAACATAGACGATATCGACGATTAACAGTGTAACGAAGTAACGACGTAACGAAGTCGCAAAGAAGCCAAAAGTTGCAGCCGTGAGCAAAAAGTGAGGAAAAGATGGAGATCAACTGTTTTCACGACAATCCGCGTGCCGCGAAACAGATTGATAATGCACCCGCGAGTTCACTGAGATTGATGCATGAAGTAATATTTGATGTTGTTGCGCCGCGAATGAATCGTAAATTTGTACGCACTTTTTCGGGTTTCGGTTACCAAAAAACTCAGAAGAGTATGAACAATTACGAAGGAGAATTTACGAGAAATTCTCAGTGAAGAAGTTAACAACCGCGTGCAACATGTTAGACATTGACGACAGTGGAAATAAAGACGAGATGTGTGATCGCGTGTGTGAAGTGCTCAGAGACTTGAACAACTTGAAGACGTACCAGCTACCCGAAGATGACTCAAACGACGAGGAAGACGACGACGACGACGATGAAGAAGAAGACGACGACGACGACGAGAAAGACGACAAGGACGACGACGAGAACGACGACGACGATGAAGATACTGACGACGACGTGACTTTACAACATTTAAGACGAAAAATGCTTCGTTCTTGTGATCGAAAGAATTTGGATAGCCGTGCCAAAATTAAAGACGACGATCAATCAAGAAGAAGCCAAAGACGTAAGAAGAGCAGCATCAAAGTCTGCGAGGAGAAGAAGAAATTGAGAAGACGATACGAGGACGACGATGAATTCGAACCACGAGGATCCACATCGAATTCAAAGTTTACTTTATCCTTTCGAGACGTTGAGGATATGGTTAGACCATTTACGGGCGAAGACGCGTATGGTATTGAGGCATGGACCGAAGAGTACGAAGAAATAGCGGACATGTTAAACCTCAATGCTTTACAAAAGCTGATTTTTGCAAAAAAATGCGTAAAAGGTCTAGCTAAGAAGTTTGTCCAGAGTGAAATTGGACTAAACAGTTGGCGGAATTTAAAAGACGCATTAAAAGATGAATTTGGCGACCAGTTAAGTGGTGCAGATGTTCACAAGAAGATGATGAGCCGCAAAATACTGAAAGGAGAATCAGTCCAAGAGTATCTGATTGTGATGAAAGAAATGGGGTATAAAGGTAACCTTGATAAGCAGTCGGTTATGCAGTATGTGATTGAGGATTGCCAGACGGGCCAAACCTTACACTGCTGTACGGCTGCAAGAAATTTAAGGAGTTCAAGGAAAGACTCAAAATATATGAGAAACTATGCAATAAGACGGAAGAGACAAAACAGCCCTTAAAGACAGAAAACAGACGTACGACGATAAATACGACGGAAGATAAGACGATAAAGAACGCATGCTACAACTGTGGAGAAGTTGGACACATTTCAGCAAGATGCAAGCACAAAGAACCAAAGTGCTTTAAGTGTAATGTGTTTGGGCACAAAGCGAAAGATTGTCAAGTTGTGGAGGTCCAAACTGTTCTGTGCGATGCTGAACAGTTCGTAAAAGACGTAAAGATTGAAGAAATTAAGTGTGAAGCGTTGATTGACACAGGCGCCGCAGTCAACATTATGACGTACAGAATTTACAAGCAGGTAGGTAGTCCGAAACTGAACGGGACTACAAAGATTTTAAAAGGTTTTGGAGGATGGATGACAAAACCAGATGGTCATATCACATTACTAATGACGATAGACGGAAAGACGTACGCTAGTAAATTCTACGTTGCAGACGAAAAGAACTTTGACGTTATATTAGGGCGAGAGTTTCTAAACGACGTGAACATGACGATTAAACGAGGAAAGATAACGTTTGACACGTTAGACGACGATGCATTGCCAATCATGTCGATCGAAGCAGAGGAGCAAGATGAAATATTGCCAATTGAGACAAAAAGATGTGAAGAGGAAAGAAGTAGTACGAAAGATGAGTGAAGATTACCAGCTGATAGAGACAAAGAATGACAGAGAGCTGTTAGTTGTTCCCGAAGAAATGGAAACAGAAATAATTAAGAAGGTTCATGAAAGAGGACATTTTGGGGTAACTAAATGTAAAGAGATAATCGAGGAAGAATTTTTTATTAAACGCTTAGAGGAAAAGCTAGAAAGAGTAATAAATTGCTGCGATAAATGCATTTTATTAAACAGGAAGATGAGAAAGAAAGAAGGATGTTTAAACCAATTGTCGAAAGAAGATATTGTTGTCTTAGAAGCACTGCGTGAAGCCGATGAAGAGCTATTTGACGAAAATAGACAATTTCTACGAGAACAGGCAAAAGTCGCAATCGCCAAGATCCAAGTTGCAATTAAACAGACGAAAATGCTAGTTGGAGGAAAATTTAAACCGAAGTTCTTAGGCCCGTACAAGATTATTGAGGCAAAGGGTAAGGACACTTATGATGTTGAAAAAGAGGGCATTCATGAGGGGGCGAATCTGACCAGTACCTGTGCCGAGTACATTAAGCCGTGGTGTCCGATAGACGACAAAGACGAGCAATGTTCGAGGGCGAACACCTCCAGGATGGCCGAATTATGTAGGATTGAACGGGACGACAGACGCTTTTTTTTAAACCAGTTGTAGGATTGAACGGCTAGCGTTCGAGAGCCTTGAGACGAGTGAGCGCGCTTCAAGGGCATTGGGGCTGTAAAGACGGCGGACACCCTTTTTAAATTAGTCATCATTTAGAAGTTGTGGACGTCGGGTGTGCTGGAGTTGTCTGAGAATTTAACTGACTTATTTTGTGTAATCTTAATATTTTTGGGGATTTTACTGTCATTCACGTTTTATATTCATTAAATTATTATCATTTAACTGCCAAAAGTCCATATTATTATTATTTGTATCAACATTCCTACAAATTCTAAACCAATTATGAAATGGAAATAATATATCTTAGTAAAATTGTAGGATTACTATACGAAAAAATAGCCCAATAATAAAATAATATTAAGGTAATCAGAATTTTTTTATTTAAGAAATGATCGAAAAAAGAATCCAGTTTTAGGTACTTTATTTAAAAAAGAAAAGGTGCTTAGATGCGTATTTGAGGCAAAATGTTACATAATATAACACCTGAAATTTTTCAGTTTCTTGCATTTACGTAATATGCTCAAATATGAGAAAATTCTCAATAACTTGAAAACTAATGCAGATACCATAACTAAAATTAAATTAATGAATTTCTGATATTACTTTAAATTGCATTGAAAAGTTTGGCGCAAATTCAGGTTGTGCGTTAATTTGATCTGTTTTGATTTGCTTTTTCATTTTCCGAAATATTAATGCTCTCAAAAAATTTATTTGAGATCTTTCATCAGATTGTAATCTTTAATTGATTAAAGTTTTTTATTTTGTTGTAGCTTAAAAAAATAATTATTAGGCCAAATAACTGAGCTGATTTAATGCTGGCATTATTATATACAGTTCTCGGTTTTTATTTATTTTCAATAGTTTCAGGGATTTTTAATATTTAAATATTACTGCAAGGAGACGTTGCACATAAAAAACATCTCCAAAGTAAACCCTTAAACGCCCCTTTCTGTAGACGTTTAATTATAATTAGTATTAGTAATAAGGAATACAAACACTAATTAAAAGATCAGGCATTTCCGCCAAGGCGTTTACTTGTTAAGATTAAACAGAAACCCATGTTTTTATGGCTAGATATTGATTGGCACAATTTTATTGCGTATCTTTTAAAACATACTTGATACTCTCGCTTTTAATTTTGAATTAAAAAAAATTTTTTTCACAGATTTTAAATTTTAATTCAAAATGTTATCTTTACTTTTTATACAAATTTGATCATTTGGGCAAAAAAGTTCCATCTTGTAGAAATGTCTTCTAGGCTTAAATATTTAAAGTTTTGGTTTTTGAAATCCATTTGGTTTCCAAGATAATGGCATTTTTATAATTTTTATATTCTTTAATGGTCAGTATTTTGATTGATTTTAACTGATTTTACTTGAAAACGATTTTTAAAAAAAGTTTAGCACTATATGTAAAAAGGCCGCCTTCTATGATTGGCTCTACAAATGGACCACCTCCAATAAATTGGTTTTCGTGCAAAAATTGGATCTTTAAATTTCGAAATATGTGAATTAGTTCCTAAAACATAACTCTATATTTTCAAATTTTTTGAATTATTTCAAATTTTAAAAAGCAACTTAAGGCCCTTTATCAAGAAATACAGTATTAAAAGGATACGTAAGGTGTAACGAGTTTCTTGATCTATTATATGACGATCTAACATCTCATATAATTTTAAATATTTTTTTGGCATTTTAGGGCACTTTTAAAGGGCTTAGAGATTGGAGCTGTATGTATGTAATGAAAAACAACTAATTGTGCAATTGGTACGTGGGAGACATGGTGTTTACTAAACAAAGTTTTAAAAATCCAAGGAAAACAGTAATTTTTATTGAACATCTTAGAAACCTACACAAGATTTAAGAAAACTTAAAGATATACACATTGTTGAGTACTTTAGAAGGTGAAAAGAGGTTGCAAGTGGTCTCTTCAGTATCAGACGTATACCTCCATTTAATAAATCTTTATAAATCATTGAATAGAATGTCCTAGTTCTATTGTTGTTTACATGGATACGGATGTAGTCATACTAAAAAAGATTATTGCAATAACACCATAACTGAATTTTAAAATCCTATAAATAACATGATAATTACAGCCTCTGGAAACATCTACAATAAAATGTGTGTGAATTAGAAAACATTCAGCTCAATGTATGAATTATTAAACACGTCTATGAATATTGAAGTGTGTTGACAGTTGGTAACAGCAATCGAACTTAATTAAACAAAGAACGTGAATATTGTCAAATTAGGTCAACTATGAGATAATCAGTTCTTCACAGACGTGTTTCTAACATTTCCATAGTACAGAGCATGAACTTCCTGACAGTCAAGCAAACAACCGGTACTGAATGGAAACTTGCTGTTTAACTTTCATCTCCTATAATCATCCAATAGAAGTCAGTCACCTTCTCAACTCCTTTTAAAGAAAACTGGAAGTAAACTAAACTAAAGTTAGTTCCTGTCCATCACTGCTTGATTTAATATTCGGGAAATGAAGAAAAAAGTCAATTTAATTAAGAAAATTATATTTTATTTTAATATTTTATAATTGTATTAATATAAATGATCTAATATCACCATGCTTTATATAAGAGCGCCCACACATACGGATATAATACAAAAATACGTTATGCGACTAAGTATTTTAACACATCTTCCATAGCTTCTTTTCTGATCATCCAACAATTCGTAATTAATTCGTAACAGTTAGTAACAATAATTGTGGCATGATTGTTGTACACTGCGTACAAATGCTCCCATTTAGTTTTCAGTTAATGTTTTGTGCTAAATTTATACAAAATGTACAAAATTTGGTTTCCAAAATCGTTCCGAGCACCTCGCTCACATTCTCAAGTTTTCTAACATTCGTTAAAGTCAGTCTCCATTTCGTTTCAAGTTGTCCCGCAACCTGTCCTATAAATTCTAGTGATGTGTTGAACTTGTCTTCAATCGTGTTAATAATATCCAAAATGAACATCACATGTCTTCAATTTAACTATCACTTCCGGTCCATCCATATCTAATTAGTTCATTGACTCTAACCTGCTACCGTATGTCATAAATATAAATATCGCTTAGTTAAATGTTCATTTTGGTTTTGGTTTTCACTGCTTAGTTTAGCATCATCGTCTAAGATTGTTTGCGGTGAGTAATGAGTGTGACGTCGCGATCTGCCTTAGTGGTGTCCTTATCTCCCCATCCCCAGAGGTCGTGACTGCCATCGCCGGTACGAATGACGCGAGCCTTTACCATTTCCTGTGAGACGGTCTTGAGATCGTAAGCCTGGCCAATCTTTGCCATAAAGTCAATAAAAGCAGCGGTGGTGTTGGTACTGTAACGTCCCAATTCGGAGGTCTTGTAATCCCAGGGGAAGGTGTGATGGTAGTTATGCCATCCTTCACCCAGAGCCAACAAAGCAACCATCAGATTCTGCACGGGATTGATGAAACTGCAATTTTAAAATTTATACAAATTAGTTATTGTGTTACTTCCTCAGTATGATTGATGTTTAAAGTCCAACCAGCAATTGCGACATGATCATAACAATCACTGCATTAATTTACATAATTTGCATTCGAAGCATGCATTACACGCTCAATTAGAAATTATATCCGATTAACGCGATTTAGTGAACGTAAGTCCGCGACCTTCACTTTGAACGTGAGCGCAAGTGCCTTAATTAAACATGGACGATCAAATCGAAGGTCAAAAGAGTTAGATTATAATCGAACTCACCGATCGTAAGGTTTCTCTCCGAACAAATGTGCAGCAGAGTTGACCAACCAGGTAGCGTTAAGGGTAAATGCATAACGGAAGAGATTCAAGAACATCGCGTTAGAGAAGGTCTCGCCAAAGAAGTACATCGGGATAACAGCGGGCATAATGAAGCACACAAGCGGCATGAGAGTAAGGTAGTACTTCTTTTGGAATCGGAGGATCGGATCAGCATAAAGATCGCTCATGTCAACATTGTGTCCTTTCTTCTTGATGTCCGGATGCTTGCGTACCAACAACCAACCAACATGAGCGAAGAAGAATCCACGAGTAGCATTGTGTGGGTCAGCATCTGTCTCAGAGTATTTGTGGTGCATACGATGGTCTCTAGCCCAATCAACAACTGCATCCTGGAAAGCCAGTGTGTTGCAGAAAGTCAAGAAAAATCGCAGCGGCCATTTTGCTTTGTAGGACTTATGTGCCCATAATCTATGCGCACCGGCGGTAATACCCAAACCACCAAGCTGATAGAGAAGGAAATCTGCAAAAAAACAACATAAAAATAAATATGCAAAATTATAGATAATCAAGAACTATTATATAGAATTCGCGAAAAACAAGTTATTTTCCAATCCACGTTTCATGGCAAAACAATTGATTAAATCAACAAATATAGCTACGTGCATATAATTTATAACAATGAAGGTAAATAATCTAAATTTAAAATATAAATAAATATTCATTTTTTTTTTTAAATTTCGGCATGCCTTATCTCCACACAATAGTTGCCGAACATGTTATAACACTGCATTATAAACTAACACGCTTCGGAAGCACAGGTCAAAGAGATATCTACTGGGTCAGGATCAGGCGATCACGAGCACCATTTAAATTAAGTAAGTGAAACTGGTCATTTGAATGATTAGCTGACTTTCGTTACGGTTCGCGCAAATTACCGAATCATGCCACCAGCGGAGCAATCACACGCATAATTAGCGCTTATCTTAATGTAACGCTTGCATAAAATTACTTCATTTTGACCTCGGAAACAAAGGAAGCTGTATCCATGTAATATTATCTATATGATAATCATTAAGTGCTACTTAAACTAAAGATGATCTATTTTTAACTTACTGAACAAAGAGGTTTTGATCTGAGCCGAGGTGAAGATCAAATAAAAGCCGTAAAGAGCTGCCATGTGCAGGTAGGCGAATAGAATAATATTCCTCCAGACAAACTGCATCTTTTCTGGCTTGTGTTTACGCTCATCAGCGGCCACCTCCACAGGGAGAAGGTCATCATCATGCTCCCTCACTTCGGTGGGTACCGATGTTACATTTGGTGGCATTTTGATAAGTCTGCAAATAAAAATTATTCATTAATATTTTTGCACATGGAAACAATATATTTATATAAATAGCTAGAAATTAATTGCACTTGAAGCTGACAACTGTCGCGCGCAAGATTGTGGTTACGATCAATTCATGGAATCACTTCATCTCAAGTTTATTTATCTTTGTTATTATAATCAATAATTTAATTTGAAATGAGAATAAAATGTAAAGCACGCAACAAGTTCGATGAACTTGACCTCCATTGTGAAGGCTTTGTCATTCCTTGCTATTTTCGAGCGTTTTTCGGTCGGGGCGTTTGCGGGCGCAGGACGAAGGACGCCGCGCATCGATTTTCCGACAAAGAAGGATCTGTATAACGCCCCCCGGCGTCGCGACGCGTTTGCGTACGCTCCGGCAAGCAATGTTGGAATTCATTTCGCCAAAATTCCAAGAATTCAATGCGAAGGACGTAGAAGTCAAATCATTTAACTAATCAGGTTATAAATTTAATAAATTGTTAGTGTGAGCTCACAGCTAAACTCGTAGTTGCTGTTTAGGCTAGCAACAACAAAAAAAAATCAAATAAAAAATTGTTATTTATAAACATTGATTGTGCCTAATGTTAAAATAGCGTGTTGAAAACATTATTTACTGGGCATAAATTCAACAATTGACCAAAACTAGCATATTGTTGAATTTGTGAATATACAAAGTACCTGACCGATTGTACCAAACAATGCGTCGTATAATTGGAAACAAGCTTAAAATGTGTAAATTTAGACAACAATATTGCAATAAGCTATTAATACGATCTATTGCTTCTTTGACAATGTTGATAATTTTTTGTTTTCATTTCGATCCTTTTACTTTTCAAAATCAACAAAGAGTACAGTAATGACAAATATTTGCTTGTACTTTTCCAATTAAAACGCATAAAACCAACGAATGAATTCTAACAATTTTTGTTTATCAAATAATAGCCTGATTGTGAACAATTCGACGATAACAACAAATATTCCAAAAACTTCCTTGGACTTATAGTATAATTATTTGTTTAGAAGGAAACTCTATTAATTAAATTTACACATTTCCACGGTTACTCAATGTTTGTTTTTTTGTAATTGTAAAATCAATATCAAAATTACATACCGAGCACAACAATAAAACAGACGCGCCGACCCAAGTCGATCAACCGAAAGAGATGCTTTAATTATTCATCCGGTAATGTTGATGTGCTATTAATTTGTTTGTTTCGTATATTGTTCCACATTCCCGGACAGAATAATGATAAAGCCAGCGCGAAATATGACACAACACTTTATACCTCACTGACAACTCACAAACTATGCCTCAAATTTCAATTACAATTACGAGAATCATTAATTTATCATTCGGATAATACCTCATTAATAGTAATATAAACTATTGTCAATCAGTGATACGTTACTCAAGCAGTATTATGAATAATAATTGATAATAATTTTACATGAATTAAGTAACATACACTCTAAGAATTGAATTATAAATATATTTATCTATGCTCTAGTGTTACCAAGTCGATAATTAAAATTAATCACACGTTCGGTAACCTAACATGGAATCAAATTGGCATGATGCGATGATGTAATCCGCGAATGATAAGAGGAAGAGAACGATCCCTCAGCTGGTTACCAACGAGGTGAGTAACTAGCAATGTAACTCGGTAAGCTAGCAACAATTTCGCGTGTGCGTTTTGCATCGATCTCTGCATGAAACTTTCTAATATAAGTTTTACAAAACAACAGTCTGCACATAAAACCAAAATTCAATATACTACATGTAATCATAATCAACACAATTCCAATAATTCATGCAGCTCATGAAGTTGATGTTAGTACTTTGTGTATTTTCTATAATTTATGCAATTTCTTTCTCTAGGTGGCAGTTCGTTAGAGCTAAGAAGTAGATAACTGATGTTATAATATGTAGCAGGTACTATTATGCAAATATTATGTAATTTTAACAAGTTGTGTATATGTGAATGTTTCTCTATTAATTCTAATTCTAAATCATTTGTTTATTTATTTTTTGATATAAAGCCATAACCTGTCCCAAATTCGTATCGCACTTGACGCACTATTTCCGACTGCTTATCGCAATATAAACCTTATCAAGGAAGTAGTGGTTATGATTTTTTCGTAAAACGATAAAAACTTACCTGGTATGTTAAGACTGCTTGAAATGCCGAAAATTGTTGCAACGATTTCGATTATCCACGGATACACACTGACTGAATACCGCACAGATAAAAAAAGGCGTTTGTTTGTTTATTCGCACGGCGGAATATTTTTTGGGCAAATACTCGATTGATAGCGTGTGTGCACGCTGCGAGTTGCGATCGGATTGTAGCTGGATGCCTATCAGCCGCCGCTTTTATAGCGCTGCCGGCGCACGCGACACACGCGCACAATCGCTCTAACATCGCGGGAACACGCGGTCGGTGATTGCATCCAATGTCTATGTCAAGCGCAATTGCGAATCCACGTATCGGCCAGAGTCTCTCCGTTCGAGATGAGGTGATTTATGCGATCACCCGTTTTGTCAAAGTGTTTATGTGCGAGAGTGATTCTCGGGGGCAAGGTTCAAAATGGCCGCCGAGGAAGACATGCTTCTCGAAGGTGATAAGTGATAACGAATAATATTTTCGTCGTTTGCGTTTCCGTTCGGATATTTTTATTAAATTGAATTTGTTATTTCCATTAACTTAATTCGCTTTTTTTTTGCTTTTTGGTTGAAAAATACGTAAAATTGAATTAAATTAACGTCATACCTAATAAAAAATTAAGATAAACTACGCATTAATACTAATTTGATTTGTTTATGACGCTCAGGACCAGTTTTGTTTAGTGTTTAATATACTTTGATCTTCATCTTAAAAACTAGTTAATATTAAATTAAAAATCACTTACTATTCCCAAAAAAACTGCACAAATTTTAAAGATATAGATCAATGTTATTCTTATTTTGCGCTTATGTTGCTGTGAATATAAAAGTGTTAACTCTTTACCGGCGTTCTAACTTCTTGGGTTATGTTAGATAGACTGATTGCCGGTAGCCGGTGTTCGCCGGTATTTCTCATATCATAGCATTTGTTCATTCCTGGTGGCACCTGAGCGAGTTCACCGGCGCTCTTCGCCGTTCCAATGCGAAATGCGCTCGCCGCCCGTGTTACATCACGCGTCGCTCGGCGTCGGCTAGTTGGTTGAACCGGTGGCGTGATCGCGTCGCGATGCCCCACCATTCGCCGGCATCGTGGACTCACCGGCAGCGGCTTAAAATTCGATATTTAGCATGGGAACAACGACGCTCTCATCTGCCTTCTGCTGCTCTCCATTTCGCTCTTTTCGGATATCTTTATTCCACTTCCTGGAGTTATTTAGATTGGCTGCAATTTTGCGGTTGGATTTCGGTGCGGTTTGAAAGAGGTCTCGGTTCATAGTCCATAGTCCACAGTCGGAAAGTGTCGAAAAGTGAACAAGGCGGCAAGTTCAAGTCCACGTCAGTAAGACGTGGTGGAACGTGCGAGAAACTGCAAGGAGATGGGAATGAATGAATGAGTAGCATACACGTGGTGTTGGAGGCACTGTTGGAGCAGGTCATGATGGAATCGATTCGATGCATCTGGTGTGGCGTGGAAAACAAGGACCTTGTTACTTGTTATTTCGCGTGAATATTAAGTAAAGTCGCCTGGAAAATCTAATTTAAAAAGAAGTAAAAATACACAAAAATATATTGCCTGCACCCGCTTACGCAATATTTTGCGACATTTCAAAATCTTTATTTTTCAATCAGACGCCCATCGTGTCATCACTTTAATCACGTTGTGTTCATGTCCACGCTTAGTGTAAATGTTTAATGAGTGGTATTCTGTCTACCAACGATAAACATTCGAAAATAACTTCTGATGCAGCTTTTTTAGGATGGAACAAGGTATATAAAAGTTACTAGGGCATTTCCGGTTTTAATTATTAAGGAAAAGAAGCTACAAATAAGAACACATGACAGAAATAGAATAAATACGATTTGTATTGTTACCGTAATAGAAACATTGTTCTAATATTAGAAAAATTAAGTCTTTGGCATTATAAAAGCATTATAAAGCAGTGATTTAAATTTAAGAAAAAAATTAACTGTCAATGTTTTTTGGATCATCAAAAACTCTATTTATACATTGCTTACAATCAAAATTTTTTGAAAGAAAGAAATGTTTATTTTTAGACACATTTTTGTTATAATAAGAATTGTTTCTATAGCATGTAATAATATATATTATATGCAATACAATACATACATTGTACATAATATCTACCTGTTATAACATAATAAGTCAAGTGTTTTGTTTATTTTGCTCTTAAGTTGCTAAGTTCAATGTCAAGCAAAAAATACCTGCGCATTTAAAACAAATCTAATTGAACAAAAAAAGGATATACTTTTTTATTTCACCGCGTTTATAAGTAATCCTTACCAATGTTATTGCAATAAATTATTATATGACAAAAAAAACAGAATTTTGTTTGTAATTAACACACACGCGTCAGAACACAGTTCTTATTCGAGTTGAATGACGTCTGAAATAATCTTCTAATTACAAATGGTTTGTTTTGCACGGGGATCATCAAATTACGACGAATTGCCAATTAAGGCATAAAATGATGAAAGTCAGTATTTTGATTTAAATGTTTCTCCACAGTTTTGTTTATTGGCGAGACATCGCGTTGTTATGTTAAATTTAAATTAGCATATAGTCACAAATCACGTGACCACGTGAAAAGATAAGACATTCAAAATGGTGTGACTGTCAAAGTGCATGGTGATCGTAATATGTATTAATTAAATTTTAGATCAACTTGTTGAGTGTGATGTGCATTGCAATTTTTTACTTTCTACTTGCAATGATATAAATAAGTCTAGAACTTTTAAGTAATTTTATCAAAAAACAATTTATAAGGTTAAACTCCAAAGTATAATCATTTAATGTTTTTTATCCAAAGCTGAATTCGTAATTTCATATAATAAACCATTGGAACAATTGGCCACAATTGATTTAATTTGCATATTTACAGTTAGCGTAACTTTAACAATGAACAAAAATTGATTCCATAATTTTTAGATTAATTTACTACATTTTACATTTTACATTTAGGTATTTTGGTTTGTATTTTGAATGTTATTTCCGGTCAAAAAAAAATTATCAATTCGAATTGCAAATGTGTCAGACACTAAAAGCCCTATGAACAGTAGAATTTCCCATTATAACGTATTCAGAACAGAAAATATAGTTCTATTGAAATCTGAAGCGGAGTTCAAAATGTACTTTTTCATCTTTTTGATTTAGGAAAACGTAAAACTGAATATTGCAATGAATCCTTCAAAGAAACCGGCGTTAAAAACCAGGGATTTGAAGTTTCTGTTGCAGCGCGCTTTTCATTTCTGAGGTGATCGCTCCCTTAAGCGCATAAAACTCCCGAATTGAAAGAACTAAGAGAAAAATAATTTCAGATTTGTGATCCTTGAAGAAAGTTCCCTGGATAGCGTATCTTTCGATCGTCTCTTTCGGTTCTAAGCTTATGTTCCGAACATGAAAATAATTGCTAGTGTAAAACATACAAACATAAAATCAGTTTCCTGCCAAGATCACATGAGTTACAATGTTGTAAACATTTGGAACTACTACTATAGGTATTAGGTATCTAATAGAACACAATAGATTGATTTGTATGTGCATAATAAATTAAAATCTAGTCGCTTTTTGAAGAGTCATCAAGCATTTAATCTGCATTCAATGTTCAGACTTTGGCTGTAAAACAGATTTTGGAAATACATAATATTTGAATTAATTAATTATATGTACAAAAAGTCAATAAACTTAAGCTGCTAGCAACGCATCGATATTTCCAAAACAACTTTTTTTGTAGATTATTAGATTGGACACGTACTAATGCGTTAATTAATGCGCTATCTATCGATTAATTATTATTGTTTCGATCATATTCCGATTGTCTGTCATAATACCGACTTAAGAGATTAAACTATAAACATTCGTATTATTGCACCGCGCAGTTACTAGATACTACTTGAACTTGAAACAATCAAAGTGCAATCTTATAGTCTCGCAACTTTAGTCATAACGTATTTACCTACACAGGTGTCATATTACAAGTTTTATGGAAATATACGTTTTTGTAAATAGTGATAAATGCAAACTTTTTATGCATTATCAGGTTCAATGGTGTATTGAACAGTTTGTGTGTACGTTTTGATTCTGAAATAAATAATACGTTAAATAAAAATATAATTCTGGTTTCAAATTAATTGTATTTTCTTCATATCTTAATTGATTTTTACCAATGCAATATATTTAAAATTTTCAAGAGTCCATGCTCATCTGATGATATTGTACTTAACTTTTAATCAACTGAGCGATTGTGTTGTTATTGAGAGATGAACATTTTTATCGCACTTGCAATCCCAAAAAACTGGATTCTACTGATAAGTGTTAATCCAATTCCGGTTATTACTGATCAATTTATCGGAAATTACTTATTATTAGAACAATCGACAGGATAAGGTATTTTATTCGGATGTTTGATAAATTCTTTAAAGAGAATAATGTGAGTGATTGCAATTCATAATGCGCAAAACGAATAAAACGACCAATTTGCATTTACGTGCATACAATTGCAGGTGCGCATAGTTCTGGCCATGCAAAATTTAGGTTTATCGACGGGCTATTGTTTTTAAATAACCTTAGAATCCTAATTAGAAGAATTAATTTAAAAAAATTTAAATGTGAGAGCCTCAAATAGAAAAGATTATTATGGAAAATACGAAAAAACATTAACAACTTGTTATTGCAAATGAATTTATTTTGAAAGTATTACGTAAAAAAATATATATCTACATGCAATTATCTACCTATGCTTATCTATGCAAAATATAAGGTGCACGTAATATAAAAATACGTAAAGGAAGTCTATCTAATGCATAATTTGAATGGTTCTTATCATTTTGCAGTTATTTGTGGTTTTGGTTTCCCAAAAATTATATTTTAATAGATTACAATACCATTATGAATTATTACTAATGCTCAGAGTTCAATATGAGCCACTTAAAATAATTAAAATCAATCATAGTTTTTAATTACCTTTATTGTTTAACTGTTTTTGCGAAAAAAGAAAATATTCATGCTTGCTTTAATTGTCCTATAATATTTTTTTCCAAATATTCTTGTATTTGAACTTTGATATGCGCCTGAAATAAAGTGTATTAAAATAATAATTATGTATGATTTAAAATTTTGACGTTTCACTTTTACAATACTTACTTCAACTGCGTGAAATAATTCAGTGGCGTCTGTACCAATTCCTTTCAGAATAGCGGCTCCGCCTGGATGATTCGGGATAAAATTTGAGATGTCGTACACAATTCCATCTATAGCAATCCAAGCGTCTTTTTCGGTGTTATGTGTGGATAATTCATCGATTGATATCTGAAACACGTGTTCAAGATTATAAGTTAATGTTGTTTCAAACATCTTTTCAACTTACTTCTTTGTCACTTGCCATGTTTTGGTTAATTTGTAACACAGAGAATTTATAATGAAAACGAATTTTCTATCAAAGAAATATGATGCAATGAAATGAATTTGATAGGTGTATGAATATAAACAAAGTGATGTTTTTTTTATTATTTTAATTGACATTCACATTAAAAAAATGTTTTTGTTTTGTGTATAGTAACAATGATTGATTTTTATGAATAAATTCTCAACAAGTTACATTTTTCTTACCTATGAATTGCTAGTTCAACTTTGTTTAGGTATTTTTATTCTCCTGCAGAGGGCAACACCTTTATCGAAAACATTATTTATTTTTGTTTGTTATCAAAATCAAACATTAACTCGTCACAAATTGAATATTGCGACAAGATAAGAGAGGATGACCTCATATAAACAAACGTGATAGTTGTTATCAACGCTATTATCGCGTGTTTAGTGTAATATTGCAACGTGATCATGTTGCTACCACATTAAGCAGGTCACTGCAATAAAATTGTTATTAATCACAGTATTGATGTAATGTGAATATTGTTTGTCGTGGTGACTGCTGAAATTGCATAAACACTAAAAAAAATGTCAATTTACGTTATCTTTCAGTTACAGCATGTTTGACTCTGCGTAAATTGCTTTTTTCTATGCCTAGGCAATAATATATTCTTAAAATCCACAAAATATTCCAAAAAGTTTTCAAATTAGCCAAAAATACTGAAACATTTTTGCATAGAGACGATAGACACATAATTATTCGTCATTCGGTGGTTATTCGCTAAAATATTGTAGTTTGGGTTAGGCAACTCAAACTACTTGTTGGTTGCACTGCATAAAACGTAATTATTAAAAAACAAATTTATTTACCAAATGATAATTCATTGACAAATTGAAATAATTAATTGCATAAAACTAGAATATAACCTACGAGTTGTCTTCAAAGTCAAAAGTAAATTCATACTAAACTACTGAGCTACATTTTTGACAGTTTTAAAGCTATCTAAAAAGCTAAAAAGAGTTATTGTAGTCATTATAATTATACAGAAATCATAATCTTTGTTTATGTTAGGTTTACGTCCTATATATCACTAAGTTATAAAATCAAGTATACATTCAATTTGTATTTGTGTTGCACAAAAGTAATAATAATATTGAGCTTATAAGTAGATTTATCATGAAATGTGCTGTCTAAATTGTCAAAATAGTTTCGGCTTTTGATCTTGGCTGCTTCTGAATTATGTATTGCCTATTTATTTAATTTTTAAATATTTAGAGAGAAGATGATTGCTGTTTTAGTATCCCTGGTCGTCCTGGTATTCCACCATAGGTGGGTGACAGTGTCCTTTACCACTCATGGCTTCCTCACCACGGTTCTCCATTACTTTCTTGATCAGATCCGCTGACGCTTCCTTTGTATCATACACATGTCCCCATTTCTTGAATAGGTTTAGCATATGCAGTGTGCCATTGAGGGAACCATGTTCAGACGCTCGGTAATCCCATGGGAAGGTGTGATGGAAGTTGTGCCATCCTTCGCCCATGGCAACAAACGCCACCAAACGGTTTTCACGAGGATTAATTGTACTAAAAAAATTGTAAGTAATAATGTGATTTTAAAGCAATATCAAATACTTACGCATCATATGGTTTGCTACCATACATATGAGCAAAAGAATTCACTGCCCAAGTAATGTGCAAGACAAAACAATAACGCGCTAAGCATTGTGTCATAATGGCGTTGCTCCAAGTTTCACCCCAACAGTAAACAGGGACCATTGTTGGAAGCAAAAAGCATAAAAACACTCGGAGAATAATGAAATGCCTGAAATCAATTAACAGAATAAATAAACAATACCATTTCGTGTCTGAAAACTTACTTGTCATGAAATCTAGCGATGGGATCGTTCAAAATGTCGCTCATATCAACTTGTTTGCCTTTTCGCAACACTTCCGGATGTTTCTTCAGGAAAAGCCAACCAATATGGCTGAAGAACAAACCACGGTTGGAGTTGTGAGGATCAGCATCTGTTTCTGAATATTTATGGTGTACTCTGTGATCTCTTACCCATTCAAAAATCGGATTCTAAAATTTGATAATTAAATGATTTGTGTGTTGCCTCCGTTAAAATGCAAAAGTTAATATATAACATACGTGTCCTGCTGCAGAATAGAGAATCATAAAGAGTATTTGCACAGGTATCGATGCTTTAAAGCTTCGATGGCAGTAATATCTATGTACTCCCCCTGTCACACCAAATCCGGCTGCTATTCCAACCACAAAACCTACAAATATGTGATTATTATATAAATTCGTTCATTTTCAAAAAATTAAGTTACCCCAAATAACAGATCTCCATGCTTCCGTATAAGGAAAATAAAAGCAGCCCAAGACGGTAACAAAATTAAGTAGGGTCAATGGAATAATATTATGCCAGACAAGTTCGGTCTGGTACTCTCCAAAAATTCCCTTATATCCTTTAATTTTCGGTTCCGTTTTCGTATCGACTTTATCTTGGCTTTCACTTGGTGTGACTTCTTTTGAAGTAGTGCAGACTTCATCTTTTGTTGTGATTGTTCTTTTAATAATTTCGCTATCAACTGCTTTCGGATTCAAAATTTCTGGTTCTAGTAGAGGTGTCGTTACGGTCACGTGATTGTACGGCGCCATATTGAAAATATGTAATACTTAATCGATCTAAAAAGACAACAAAAACATTTTTATTTTGTTTCGGAATGGTTTCTGTTTGTTTTGTGATGGCAAATTGTTGGGACACGATTAACATTTGCCAATTAACATTTCTCGTAATGAGTTTGCTCTTTGATGCAATATCTGTTTGAGCTAATATTACATACGCCATGTTTGCGTTGACCAAGCTATGTCATAATACAAAACAAGACCGATTCAAGGCGGTGCTTGTCCAATATTATCATACGAACCAAAAACAAACGCAAACAATAATTAAAATGTATGAAAAGAGAACCATCATAAATCACACATGTTATTTTCTCTATTCGATAATAGATGGTGATGAGTTTACTTTAACTTTTGCCATTTCGGTTATTTCCAAGTGATGTATAATTGTTAGGTACATAATAAACCATTAAACAATTAAATCATATGACATTGAAGAAAGTTTTATTGAGATGTTAAAACCACCACCAAAGTCATAAAACGTAAGCGGCAATAATAATAATTATAAACTTTTGTTTTCCTATTAAATCACAGCGGATCCGACGCTAACTTTTATTCAAACAATATTGCTTGATGATATTTATTCTCAAAAAAAAAACTTCCAAACCCAATGTGCATAATCTTATTCTTTTATTCTTTGCGTCTGCATATATTAATTTTCAATGTTAAAGTTACATGTGGCGAGTATTGAAAATTACACTTTATGAACAATGATGTAACATACAGTTTGTTCTGAGCAAATATAATTAATTATCAATTATCAAGAATGAACAAATTTCAATTGCATATTCTTCCTAAGACTTTTTTTTTGGAATGTCCTAGAAATAAACTGTAAAATGTTAAATATAATTGCATACAAAATGCAAAATTCGCATCTAACATTTGTCTTGAACCATATTTTGCGGGTGTTCTCTTGAACTCGATTCGTGTTGCCTTGGACTTGATTAGCACCCAAAATTTTAGCCATTCGATAATTTACATTTTATTTCTCTCCGGCGGCAAATTAGTAATAGTACGTAGCATTGCAACTTTTAAAAAAATGAATCGATTAATCAAAGAAGTATTTTTTCTTGTCATGTCTAAAACTTTAAGCAAAAAATATTAATCTTATAACATTCATGGTTATAGGTAGAATTAATTTGGATGTGAAGGTTAATGTCGAATGTCAAACCATCTTTTATTCATGTATTATATTACCGTTAACATTTCTTGCCAAAAATATTACAAATAAAATTAACAGTGTAATAGTTTCGTTTTCATTCGAAGAGTTTGTGCTAACACGTGGTTGAGATGCTGTTGGAATCGTGATTCGACGTTTTAGTAGGTTAAAAAATACATTGCGCACGCGTTGCATTGCAAATGTTAATTATAGTAATCAAGGTTTAATCGAATTTTAAAAGTTAAAAAAATATTTTTTTACATTTACAAAATAAATCCGTATATAACTTGAAATTTTTGAAAAGTTTGTTGACACTACCTACTAATGATTCTTTTCCTTTTTTTTATGACGTCCAGTACGTGTAAGTGTCCTAAGATTTTTATTTTTACAACCCAAACAATGATTATTCGAGCACTCGACACGATGACGGATTGCACATAGTGAAAGCTGCCTAATTTACCAAGTGCTGAAGAGCGCAGAGAACGAAATCCGGCGCATGTGTTTGTTGAATAAACTCGCATACGGTACGGGCTCATTACTCTTACGTCGGCCATGTTGTTAGACCTATTATGATCGGCATGAAATTGCCCGGTGTGTCTGGTATGAGTTAATGTTTGAGACATTTAACGACACCTAGCATTACTTAGCACGGACCTACTGACATACCAATACATCAATCGATCAATATATCAACACACCGTGAAAATCACACCTAATTCATCATATTTGGTGAGGCCAAATCACGGACACTAAATATTTATTCATAAATCATCATTTTAATTTAAAATTATATATTAAATCTTAAATTATAATTAAAAAGAAGAAACAAGTTATTTTATCTTTGGCAAAAATTTAGTCAACGGTTGGGAAATCCTGATAAACTCACACCAGATGATTTATTCCGGTATTTTTTTATAATGATGACAAATCCTACTTTTATCTTCATAGTGTTCTACTTGGTCGGTTGCTAAGAGGGATTTTTTACAACTTTAATTTTATTTTATGGAAGATTTATGTAAAATTTAATCTGTCAAGTTAAAAAAATCTAGGTACCAAGCTATTCAAATTATAGTAAAACATATATTTTCATGCTTCTGGCGTAAAGTTGTACAAACGTGTATGGAATGTCAAGTTTTCTCTAGATCTAATCAATTTTTCTATTTTCTGTCGTTTTCAAGGTTGAAATCTCGAGAAGTCGCCGTGAATGAAGAAACTTGAAACGCGGAAAACCAAACACGATTATGGTAATAATGTGAATTATACAAACTTAATATAATAATGATCGTCGAGATTCTACTCATGATTACATTATTTAAAAATTTAAAAACGATTATTTTTAATAATACTTGACAACTATCATCTTTCAAAATGATTATATTTTGTATTTAGTAAATTTTGTAATAATTATTTTTGTAAAATATAAAATGGATTTTTGAACAATAAAATTGTTCACTTTTTCAGCTGTAAGGCATAACAAATTAAATATAATAAATATTTTTATTATTTCCAAATTTAGCAAAAGTAATCAAAAATATTATGTTTAAGTATTATTTTTGTATTAATTACTATATTTATTTTCATAATGCACTATAAAAATGCAAATAATGCATATATCATACGTCAACAGATATAAACCATTCAACTTGTTGCAACTCCTTGACACGGATGTCTCGCCACATTGTTTAATTATCCTATCGCAGCGCACAATGCGCTCGCATTGCTCACTGTACAAAATCGCTAAACGTTTATCAATGGCGTACCAAGTTACAAAATCTTTTACGATCGCATTCGACACGTTTTAAGACTTAAACTTTGCGACTCACACTGAAATTTACCCGCCTCAATTATTTGTAAAACTAATTTCAGCGAAGTAAAATTGAAAAGAGCACAAACAAGGTACGCGTGTCAAACGCGAATTTATCTCCAGCAATGAAACATTGAAAAGGTAAGTTTTGCGCAAACTTCATTAAATCATTATCTCATTAATGTCTTAACGCATTAAGCGTCTTGCAACATTCAGCGTTAATTTTCTTTGTTTGTTTTGCTGTTTTTGAAATGTATATTGATATTTTTTTCAGGATTTCACTTGTTTGTCGTAAAAAACATTCCAGACATGCAAATTTCACTTTTTCTATTCTGCGTCGTCCTTTTAATTAGCTAACTCAATATTTGTTCAAGAATTTAAGCGCTCGCGCAAAGTCGAACAGCCGTCAACAATTTTTCAATGTTCTTACTTACTTGAACACACTTTACAAGTGCTCGGTGCAAGTTGGTGTTAAAAGGAACGCGTTGAAAAGTTTTACATACGTGAAGTCTCATCTTCACGATGCCTCTTTACAATCATTCGAATTTTACAATACGTGGAAATTTGATTCGTGTATGCGTGCGTTCGTGCGCTTTGACATTGCGTCATGAGCGCTAAACTTCTTAAACAATTGATATGACGCATAAATGTGGCACAGTGTTGGACTCATCAACAATTCAAATTTTAAAAAATTCCTAAAATTTTAAAATAATTCATAAAAACCCAAAATTTTATTTGAAAAAATAATTAAATTCCTTTACAGGTTTATTTAGGTAATGATGAATCCAATTCTGTTTGATTGTCGGATTTATTGCCAATTTCACAATCAAAGAAAGAGAACAAGACGAAAACGGTGAAATTCGATTTTATATTTTTGCGTACTTTACGACCTCCTGCCTTAAAACCCAATTGTGGTCAAAGCAAAAATTCACCAACCTTATTCTGAAGCTTAAAATTCCGTTGGATAGCACTGCGAATGTTCAGTAAGTCACAATTAAACTGTACTTAAAAACAACTGTAAAACTAGACAAATTTCGTGTGTAAAGTCACAATGCCGAAATAAAAATATTAATCCCCAAAATTTTGTGTGGATGGTCGAGGAGGTGCGCACCGTCGAAACTATCCGAAACTTTTACCGCGCGCTGATAAGTGCGAAGAGACTTTATTGGAGACGCGAGTCAGCGTCACGCAGGTGAGTTTGGTCGTGCGCGCACACATTGCTTAAGTTATCTAAGCCCCACAAGACAAAACCAAGCGTCGTGATTCGCATGTAGATGTTCTCCCACTTTTCTGCAAAATTTGAACACCACCCGTGTTGACTTTATCATTTTACTTTAATTTATTTATTATGAGAACTTAACATTGCTTTTGTTTTAGTATTTATTAAAAAAATATAACAATTTAGCAATACATTTTTATTACTTTGCATTTAGTTCACTTTTATGGAAAGATATTTATGTATAAAATAATAAAGTAATTATTTAAATGTGATCTTGTAATCTCGCAATCAATAAAAGTAAATCTGTAGAATGCATTTTAATGTTGCGATATAAAAAACCCCAAAGATCAACAAACTCATTCTTGTCAAACTCACAGGCTGTAGCCTGCACTCAAAATAAGTTAAAAACCCGAGAAGTTCAAACATGAAAAAAAAAACTTTAAACCAGTAAGTTGAAGGGTGCATCCACAGATTGCTGAAGAAGAAGATGAAGAAGAAGCAGAAGAGCCTACGTGACTTTTGGAGCATCCACATTGGGATAAAATTGCGAATAACTAAAGTTTAAATGCGGTTTGTGTTGACCTTCGCGAATTCGTGCTAACCCAAACTTACAACATGGGACTCACACCTAACATACACACTAAACTTAAATCACAAAGTCACAGACTTATTAAGTATGCATAATGCACCTCCAGAAAGAAGAACAAGAACAAGACAAGACATTTTTTATAAACGCAACTTTTACTTTGTTCTGTGCTCAAATCTTAAAAGTTATGAATAAAACAAAAATATTTTATTATTTAATATTTTTCAAGTACAACGTTATAAAATCAACATTTCTGTAAACTTTAGCGGATTGAATTAAAATGTTATTTTACTGCCTAACATTTATCTATTCTAAAATTTACATCCCTAATAAATTAATGTTTTTGACCTATTGACAGTGCATCTATGCAACCAAATATACAATATTAATATAATATGCATCTAATTTTCCAGAAATTGATTTCAACCAAGTGTTAATGCGTTTTCAACATAAACTTGCGGAAATTTTCATAGCATCATAAATAATTTAACAATTTTCGGAATACTACACGATGTGATAATGGAAAGTAATTGTCACTTTCAACCAAATTGTGAATTAGTATCAATATGACATATTCTCAACAAACAATAATCGTATTATAAAATCTTAAATTCTTAAACTTACCGTCGATGTTTTATTACCCAGTCGTAATGATTTTAATGATCATGAAGTAATGAATAATGCATATACAGGCATTGGTTTATTACGTTGTAGACAAATTGCTCAAACTTAAGCTCGACAATGTTTTCCAAAGAAACAAATTAATTTCTATTTTATAACTTCATATGTTAACTTAAAATATAAAGACTTTCATCCCTGACCAGTGAAAAATTAGTCACAGAGTTTAAAAACAAAAGCAGAAAATGCATCGATGAAATCATGAGTCACAACTCACACTTTACGTAATAGTTTACTACCTTGAGTGTTTTTATAGCACTTGAAAAGTAAATTTGGCGAAAATTTTAACGGATGTATAAAATATTATGTCAAAACGTGTGAAATCTCCGACAATGTTAAATTGTTCGTTTTCTAATGATGATTGTTTTGCGTATGAAAAAAAAAATGTAAAAGTTTATAACTGAGTCAATTTGCACGTTGACAACAAAAAGAAACGCAAATTTTACATAACTCCGCTCTTGAAGATCTACGAGTAAGATGTCTCAACCAAAGAGTTTACTCAACTTTGGTCAACATGCAGCCAACTTTAGATCATTCGACAAACATTGTGTAGCCTTAGACGAGTTTAGTCAACTTAAACTGAGTATTACCCTGGTTATATACTCAAATCATCGCAAAATAGTTTCGATCACTTCGGATATCGTTGGGCAAGTCAACGAGTCTTCAAACTTTGAAGTGCAACTCTTCAAACACTCTGTTAAGTCCACTGAACGTTATTTGTTAACTTTATGTAATTTCATCTTGTCCAGCCAATGCACTTCTGATAATATTTGAACATTGCATCATGAGAATAATCAATATCAATAGAAATGAATGAAAAATGCGCTGAATAAATTTATAAGTGGGTGTTTGTTTATTTTTGCAGCTTAAGTCACTTGAATCAACCTAATTTCTAATTGATAATTTATACTCACGTTTTACTTTCGCTTTTAAGTGATATGAAGAGAATTTCGGACACAAAATTTTAACACCTTTTACAATAGCACTCCAATTAATTATATTAGTGTGATTGTAATATAGGCCCACTTATATTTATAACTTAATTTCGCGCATATTTACAATACTCATTTAATAATATTTAATGGCTTCGACAAAACAAAACTTTGAGTGGCAACAAAAATTATTTATTTCTTCATATTTACATTTACAATTATAACTGGTTGATATTAATATGGAGTGATTTATTTATTATCCCATTGTTTTTTATTGCATTTTAAATCATGCAAATAATAATAAATAATAATAATGATTGCTCAAAATCTTGGAACGTGCGTACATGCAGGTGCGCTTAATAAATGTTAATGACAACTTTACTACGTAAGCAAAAAATGCACTGCTAGAACAACAATTTCTTAAGACGACATACATTTTTTATATTTAAAAGTTCAAGTTTCAACTTACATGAAAAATTGATGAACTTGCAAAATTTTTTGTGATTTATATGGGAATTAATAATTCAGTGTGAGCAGATGATAGAATTCATTAACTTTTACTTTTAACAATTTTGTCTAGACTGTTATTAATATCTTTCACGTGGAATGACTTGCAAGAATATAAAAATCGAATATGTTTTAAGGTTATTGGTGCTTACTCAGAAAAGAAAAATTAACATAATCTATGATTTGTTACTTGACTTAAAATATTCATTGTTTCTTGGTTTTTTGGCATATTGCTCAGCTGAATAGGTGAGTCGTCAACGTTAAATTATGCAAATGCAACTTTGTAACTCGTCACGTGTAACAACAAAAATTAAAATATCTATTGATTTCCTTCAGAGTTTGGAATTCTGCGTTTACTTGGTGTGAGCACGTGAGTTAAGCATTAAGTAACATTGACCCCATTAAGGTACGCCAGTACCATAACCCATACCAACCATCTCCATCTTTCGATTGTGTCGTTCTCTAAGACACTTGCTTCACGTGCGTTTCGTGTGCCGTTTTCGTAGTTATGTATTTATATATGTGCACCTTGCACTTTGCAACAGCCGAAGAATATTTGCACTTTCACGGCTCAGAGACGTTGAAATTGGCATTTGTTTTGGTTCGCGTTCGCTATTCAGCAGTCAGTCTAAAACAACAGCCTAAAGTATTGCGTCAAAGATGTTTATCTGATAGCATTCGCAAGTTTAATGATAATTTATTGTTCCAGCGTTTTAACGATGCATATTTCATATCTATGCGGAGAAACGATGATGAAACAGTATGCAGAATGATTGCAGAAGAAGCGCATTGTGCTTCTTGTCAAATGCGGCCATTTAAGTTGTTCTTTTGTTTTATTTAAAATTACGATGTTGTTCGCATTTAGATGATAACTGAATTGTTTCTATACGTTGGAAGCAATTTTATTATGCATTCTGTGCACAATTCATTTGTGTGAAGGAAAATTTACAAAACGGTTGGAATGCATTTTTTCCAATGAAGCATGTAATGCAGTGTGCATCACTTTTAAAAATATTTTCGAAATTAATTTATTTTAAGAATAGCTGTCAACATAAAACGAATAAATCCTAAGCTATAACGCAACTCCGGTATTGTCTAGTGGCTAGGATACCTGGCTCTCACCCAGGAGGCTCGGGTTCGATTCCCGGTACCGGAATCTTTTGTTTTTGACTTCTTAATACAATTTTAACAATTTTTAACTTTACATAGATTATTATATCATCATATTTTATCAACATAGCACATAATATTGATTTAATGGCTTTAATCATTGCTATTTTAAACGTATTTGCTGGACCTATCATATAACCTCAACGTTTATTTTTGTTCCACACTTCACCAGTCCTTTGGTCCCTAAAGCTTGAAAGCTCATTAAAAGCTGATTAAAATGTCTTATTATATTAACATGTTCTTCTCTACGGAGTTGACATGCCTTCCACGCATCGTCGACTCGTACATGGGCAAATATTACAGCAATGCAGTGGGCAATGCACTCACTTGGGTTTTTGTCATGTGGATCATTGTCCATTATGTGTTTGATTCTTATTTAAATGTAAGTATTGCCTGAACTACGCCAAAATATATAATACACTTTTTTTTATTTAGATACTATTCAAACAAATGAACTATAAGCAATTCACCCGGACTAGACTGTTAAATGCTTTGTGGTACTGTGGATTTTATGGCACAGCATTTCTCTACTCGCTTGGGACAATTATCAGGAATAATACAAGTCTTGTTGACTACCGAAAGAATTTAATTTTGGATGGTGGACCTATTCCTATACACATCCTAATGGGTTTGGGTCTTGTTGGAACATTCTTCTTTCAATCACTTGTTTGGACTGGGATTAAAGATGGTTTTGATAGGAATTGTCTAACTTATTTAACTCTGACTTTCTTACCAGTTATGACATTCTATAGCAGGTGTGATATGCATTTTATATGTGAATTTTGAAATGCATTTGTGGAATTTTTTAGAAGAACCGAATTATTTTTGTCATTGCTTGCACTAATCAGTTTAGTGCAATTTGGATTCAACATATTGAGATGTTTGTCTTGTACTATTGGAAAAAAGGGCAGTGGATACTTAAATGGTGTATTTTTTGCAATTTTGGGATTATTGTAAGTTGTATGTTTAGTAGTATACAATTTCTTTTGCAATTGTTTTTTTTTTTGTTTCTGTTTCAGCATTCTAGTCCATGTTATTGTGATTCCTCTTTTCATTATTCTTCCGTTGATATATAATCAACGCTATGGTCTTAATATTCCTGCGATTTTTCTATCAATTTGTTTAGTTTTCTGGTGGCTTGCAGAAGCATTTACAAATGTGAGTACACTTTAATCATTTTTAATCTATAATCATCCACTTACATAGGTAAATAATATCATTTAAAAACTAATTATAGTAACTAAAAGAGTTCTCAGAACTTGAATATATTGGAATTTGTTTCTGTTTGTAGCCATTATATAAATATATTGAACATTGGATCAAACACATCGATTTAAAAAATGTCAGAGTATGTCCCCGTAATGTTCTGGAATGCTGTCTCTTCCCAATTCGCGACGACATAAGTTTTAACTTAGCCGTTGAAAAATTGGAGATCAAACAGCGTGAGACCAAGTCAATTCAACGCCGCAAACCAAAAGACAGAGGAGTTTTTGTCCAAACCCTAAAGTGCATGGTGGCGATTCGTCGTAAATTGAATAAACGACGTGCATCTGAGAGTTCATCCGACGATTCTGACAGTGAGGAAAAGGACCCGACAACCGGAGATGATCCTGGAAATGAGGCAGACAGCTCCGAGGAAGAGTCGTCCTCGGAGGAGGAGGACAACGAGGCGGATAAGATGAAACGTGAATATCAAGAAGAGACAGCTCGAGCATTAATGGAAGATATAGAAGATAAACTAAATGCCAAAGAAGCAACATCAGTTGCACAAACAGAATCATCCGAAGAGGAGACCCGCGAACCAAACGGTTCGGCGGAGTTGGAGGATAAGAAAAACGACTGATATCGAAAACTTACTCAATTCTAGTCTCAGTAGAGTTTTTTCTCTCTAGTCGTTCATTCATAGTCGAAAAATATTTATTTATAAACAAAGTAGTACGAGAATTCAGTATAGATCTATAAAATGTTGACCTAATTAACACGTCTCTTAAAAGTTTGTACAAATGTTGAGATTTTTTTTGTTTTCTTGTTACTAAACATCGAATATGTATGTATCTCGTCGCTCACTAGTCTATGACAACATTATTGCATTCTAGATTGCCTATGACGCGACATATTCATTGCCTTCATCTTTGATAATAGTATAAAATCAAATATAAACAGGATACATTAACAAAATGTTATTTACAAGATATTAAAGTACTTTGAGCTTCGACACAACGCAGCAGATCGATAAATTCCTGTCGTTTCAGTGGATTAACCGCCCAATGGCTGCCATTATGCATATCGTTAGGAGAAGATTTGGACTAATGGCAGTAGCAGGGTTGCAACCGTCGCCAGTGCAGGTATGTATACACGTTCGGTATTCTTTCAATTTATCTCCAGGTTGACGTACGTAATTGCAGTAATTCCCCAGGTCCAGGGAGGAACAGAATCGTTTTGCTCCAATTCCACCTAAAATTATAACGATGTTATATAGTTCCATTGGTCAGAAAATTAGGTTGAAATTGTGTTGAAACAAATAGGCGTGCAGTTTTGGTAGCAGATATAAAGCAACTTAAAGAAAACAACGATTTAACACAAAGCACACCAGAGTGAAAGCCCTTTACCCTCCATGCCCGTAGATTTAACACAATAAGCCGCCTCGAAGACGTGATCGCAGTTTTGAGGCTCCAGTCCGCCCATCTGAATCATACCGTCTGAGCAGTCGAGTGTTTTAGACGCCATGCATTGATAGCACAATATCGCCGATGCTGATGATTAGTAAATTGTTAGTTGCATTCAAGAATAAGCATATTATAAATATTACAATTATAGTTCATTCATTCAGCTGCGATCCCGAGTACCTGTTATAAAGTTAGTTTTGGTTTTTTATGAAACCCTGTTAAGACAAAAGTTTGGTTAAAACACCTGGCGCCATTTTGTTATTATTTTAATGCCCCTATTCGTTATATTTTTGTACCTTCAAAACGACCAACATGTTTAACGCAATATTTTGCCCCGTAGACATCGTCACATGATTGGGGCTGAAGATCTGTGTCGCTGGATAACCACTCGTTGCATTGGAATGGATTGCTTGAATCGGTACCCGTGCATTGATAACATTCAATGGCCAACGCTAAATACATAAATTAAATTAAAATCTATGAAATTCATATCTTTGCAAGCTGTTTATCGGGTTGTGTGAATTATGAAAGTATTCATGGTTGAACTCCTTCAACGAATCTTTTATGAGTAACTCAAGCTTGAATAATGGAGATTTTCATCGAAGAAATATTCATTTCTACATGAATAAACATGATTTTCTCGTTAAAAACCTTTGAATTCACACAATATGTACGAAAATGTTCATAGAAACGTTATAAAATATTGTTATCGATCGATTAAGGCAAATGTACAAACTTGGATATAGGCCAGACGCACTTATGTATCACACATGCACTTTACTTCCACCTTACGTCTGCATTTTTATCGAACGAGTGTTTAAAAATAGGCCTAACGCACGTTGACTCGATAAAAACCCTAACACAATTTAACAAGACATTACATCCCCAAAAAGTGTTCGCAAAAATGTTTTACGTTTATGTTACCTAGGAGCTTTTGGTCTTTTTGTGAATTAATTGATTTTCGACTCGCCCTGTACACACATATTTCGTGTGCGTGCTTACTGAAAATGCAAAATTGCAAACGCATGTGAATTATTCATCTACTTTAGTGATTTAGCCCAGCTTCACGTGTCGAACTCAGGGGACCGTTTTTGTCAATCGTGTTTACCGCGATTTGCATTTCAATCTGCGTTCCGCATCCCTTTGAAAGCGACAACTTTGCGACTTCTCTACACATTACCAAAAAGGCCACGAATCCAGATAATTACATAACGGATATTTGTATTACTATTGCAACTAGACTCATCCGGACAGATATATAAATATGCTACAATTCAACAATGATTATGATAATATTTGCTTGTTTTGGTGTGTATATTTAACTAAAATAAATATAAATTAAACTTTGTCCATTATTTTCTCCTTCGAACAGTTTTGTTTCAATTCAATGTGTTTACCAGCCACACCTGTCTATAGTGTCCGTCATCTGCAGGTAAACGGTACGAGCACACCATTGGCAACCATGGAAACCGAGTGCCGTGCCCACCTTGACTCTTGATTACAAACAAACACGTAACCACCACAAGAAGTATATTTATACTCACTTGATGTGACACAAGCAACTATCGCCACGCACAAAACCATCAACTTCTCCAATTTCGTCATTTTTGTACTGATATGGATTCGACTGCGGGCTGGGCAGGTCAGTGGATGAATCAAAATGATGATTAATGCGATGATCGGCGCACGGCTAACTGTAGAGTCGAAACAGAAGACGCATTTCGAACTCGCTCGCGCGACGGATCACGATAGAACTGGTAGCGACGGCAAATGGCGAAGCCGCCAACCAACTCCCACTACCTGCTGATGTACGCTCAGTCATTGGTAACGATATAACGAACATAGGTAACGAATAATTCATGATCATGATATCTTGAGTTTATATGAATCATTCCAAAGGAAAACTTCTGCGTGGTGATAATATTTCGAATATTTAGTCTCGCATTAGCCGCGAATCATTTTCACTAATTCTAAAAGTTATTTCATCAAATATTATTTGATAAACCAAAATGTAGTATGCACTCACATAAAGGAATCTTCCGAAGTTTTATCCATTGCTAATTTTAATTTAAATATCTTCTTTATTCCCAAAATGGCCTCTTGGTCGTTCAGACTTTGTTTAACCTTCATTTTCAGAATCGGATTCTCAATAAGACAATTGTGTTGACAATCCCTTTTCATTCGGTATGCGTACATTGTATGTAATGTCTTTCTTCTTCGTTGGTTCCGCCATAGTGCTGATGGCATACCCCATCTGTTCTTGGGTTGAAATCCACCACGGTATTTCTAAATAATCGGAAACATTTAATAAACCATATTAAAATATAAAATCTTATACTTGCGCCTTTGCCTGCCCAAGAGGTCCAAAATCCAATGACTAAAGGGCCCAAGCAGAGTCCCACAGCACCCCAATAGATTTGATTGTCGTGTTCTGTGCGATAATCGTGGTGGTTAAGCTGATTTATAAAAAGCAGCACCAACGCCTGTAAAAACACAATTAATACAGAAGCAGATTTATCTCATTGTGTTTAAGGTAATAACTTACAAAATTGATGAGAAATAGAATCTTCAGAGCGTTGGTTTGCGGATACAAAGTGCCTTTCATAAATAAGTAATCCCCGTTGAGTCTTTCCAAGCCGTAGATCGCCAAAGCAAACGTACTTAACGTTAGAAATGTCATGATCGTATGAAAGTGTGCCTTTGCGTTCAAATAGAACAAAAAATAATGTGTCGATACTGTGCAGAAGGGATAGGTGAAAAAAAATAATATAATAATAAGCACTACGTAGATGAGGTTCCTGTATCGATACAAAATTCGTTGGGATGTCATAAACGAAAACTCAAACAAGTCCACGGTGAGTAGAATATTTGTAATACCATGCATCATTATCAAATAGAAGTAGAGGAGATAAAATGTAGATCCGACCACCATGGCGCTTCGTCGAAGCGTGATTGGGATCATGACGAAAAGAAAATGAATTCCAAAAAATTGCAGACATGCAGGGTCGTTCACTTTGGCGAAAACTTGAAGATCACCAGCAACATATGGAATCCAATAAAGGAGAAAAAATGCTGTAGCAATCTTATAAGCTGCAATGGTCCAGATTTGACTCAGTATGGCTTGTTTTGGACACAGATATCCCAGCGTTACCCAATGCATTGGTAAGTATTCACTCACGGAGAAAACAATGACTTGTAAATATGGCCGTATACTGGTGAACTGGTTGGTGTGAAAATGCAAAAGCTCTCCAACGGGATTCGGATGGATCATACTATTCATCAAAATCGTGAAGCAAAGCACAACCAAAAGCATAACAATGTTAGCACGTAGTGGATAATACCTATATCTTTTGAATTGAAATAGCCGGACGAGGGCCACACACAAGTATACCCATATTGCACAGTCTACACGGTCATTATCTAAAGTCCAATTCAGAATATTCGCGTATTGTGCGTTTCCTTGATCAGTAAATACCTTAGATAATCCATATGGTACACCAACGGCAGGTTCAAAACTGAACTTTGTCTTGTTACATGTCGGTACCGCGGCAACCATTTTACTTTCGTTCAAATAGATATAGTTTTGGAATGACATGAAGCCACTTGATAGTATTAAACCGGTTTCTATCATTTTAAAGGTTTCAAACACGGTGATACCAATAGAAACACCCGAAAAAATGGGCATCATGTCCCAGATGGTAAGGTATGAACGATCACCATAGGATCCAAGAAAGGAAAAAATTACTCCCAGCCAGGTGCACATTGTGATGTTCGTCAGAGTGAATATAATCCACACCAGTACTATACAATATTATAATATAAAACAGTTTTTAGCACTTTTTAGCACTTGCGTTATACTTACGGCCACCCCATTCCAAGCACAAGTCAATGTATTGAGTTATAAATCGAATGTTTATATGAAGATTTACTAGGATCCAGAAAATATCGTAGGAAGAGATAACAGGACGAGTGATTTCTTCATTTGCTGTGCCCAAGGTATAGATTCGAAGATGTCGTAGGAAGTGTTGAAAACGTTCTACGGGCTTGTCAAGGGCCACATCGCTGAGGTCCTCAGAAACATTGTCTGTAGGGTGATCTTTGCTCACCTTTGGACCACTAGACAGTAAAGTTCTTATAAAATGCATGATTGTAGCTGTAAATCTGATTTATAATAGCAATGAAATAATTTTTTCCGTCAGTGCTTGGCGAACTACGTTATTGTGATTCGAATTTGAATGTTTGGTGGTTTTAAACATGAGGTGCCAACCGTGTAGACTCTAAAATAACACCAAATATCCCTAGATGCTTCTGCCAACTGTACATCTGACGTTTGCTGTTTTCCTCCGGTATCAACACGTATTTGGGTTTAGAATAATAAGAAATAATTAATAAATAGGAACAATGTCGCGCCCACAACAAGATGTCGACGAGTTATTTGATATTAAGAATTTTTATTACATTGGTCACTACCAGCAATGTATAAATGAAGCCCAAAAGCTTCGAAAGGTTAGTTTGCTTGTTTTCTATATTTGTTATAACTTTTAATTATTATAGCATCATTATTTTATAGCCATCCTCTCCGGAAATCTCACTGGAACGTGACATTTTTACCTACAGAGCATATATGGCTCAACGGAAATTTTTGGTTGTTATGGATGAAATCAAAGCATCATCGCCTGAAGTTCTACAACCTCTAAAAATGCTGGCTGAATATTTACACCAGAAGAACAAGCATGATGCAATTCTCGCTGAACTAGAGAACTTGATGAGTGGAAACATTCCAGACAACAGTAATCTTTTGCTATTGGTTGCTGCAACAATCTACAGTATTGAAAATAATTATGAAGCAGCCTATAAAGTGCTACACATTTCAGAAACCATTGAGACAATGGCATTCTGTGTGGATTTATTATTAAAGATCAATAGGCTGGATGCAGCTAAGAAGAAACTAAAAGAAATGCAAGAGTTGGATGAAGATGCAACTTTGACTCAGTTGGCTCAAGCAAGTGTTAATGTTGCAATTGTAAGATATCTAAAATCATATTTTGGTTAGCATTTTATTAATGTTATTTATTTTAAGGGAGGTGATAAAATTCAAGAGGCATTCTATATTTATCAAGAGATGATTGACAAGTATGGCTCAACTCCTCTACTTCTAAATGGCCAAGCTGTTGCTTTAATAGCACAAAGGAAACTAGAAGAAGCTGGAGTTGCTCTTCAAGAAGCTCTAGACAGAGATCCTAATCATCCAGATACTTTAGTAAATTTGATTGTGTTGTCATATCAAAGCGGAAAAGAGCCAGAGGTAGCGAAAAGATATTTGTCGCAACTGCGAGATTCCAATGCAGATCATCCATATATCAGAGACATGCAGATCAAAGAAAATGATTTTGAACGTGTTTGTGGTCAGTATACATTCAGTAAACCTGTATCGGTGTAAAACAGAACGTGTTTGGATATAATTAAGGAAAATAATATTGATTATGTGTCTAATTTGCAAATTAAATAATATTATAATGTATTATAATTTTATAATGATTCAGTGATCTTTATTACTAGTGATGACAGAAATCATTAAATCTAGTTTGTTTTATAGGTTACGTATATTTAATAGTCCCGCTTAATCGAATTTTATGCCGCATCAGTTACGCGCCCAGGTCGCAAGTTTAATTTTCTTTTCGTTTATAAGAATTAAAACAATGAAAAGAATGTTCGTGCAGTTGAACAGAAGCAATATAACATAGGATTAGTGAAGTATCTTTTCGTGTTTTCGACGTTAATACTACGTTTATATCTATGGGCTGGAGCAGGAGAGGTGATTCTTTCTGCAGGTAGGTGTAAACCACCAAAATTTGCAATAAATTTCCGATTGGTAGTAATTAAGTTAATGTTATAAACATTGACAAGGAATGTTAAAACTCCTTGATTATGGATACAATCGTTTAATTTGCACCAGTTTAGAAAACTTTTCATTTTGTTTTATATGCGCAATACCATGCCACATTTTTACAATATCATAAATAAAACATTTCATATTCGTTAAACATAACTGCGTTAACCACTTATCAGCATTTTCTCTCGCGCCTTCTGTATTTTCTGAGGTTTTCTGCTTTTTTTGCGGCACGCGCGCTGACTTCGTGCTCGGACCAAAAATATATTTTACATTGTTGATGTAGCACAGAATGCAGGCGAATCCGGCAAGCGCAAAAAAGAAGGTTTCGCCCGCGCGACGCATAATAACAGAGTGCAGTACCGTGTTCGGGTCGTATCTTATCTCTCAGAGTGATTTAGTTAGGAGGACAGTGCGCGCGGAAGAAGAAAGGTCTCGCGGCGCGCGGTCCGACAAAGCGAAGGCTTGGTCGCGCGCAAAACGCTCTTTTTCTTCGTGGCGTGCTGTACTCGTATTGTGATCACATTCATCCACATTCAACCGATGTGGGCGATCCCGCATCGCAATAAACCAGTTGTACCAAACCAAGTAATATCAAAAATTGCAACGGTTTGTTTATTATTCAATAGCAGTCGTTTATAATAATTCAAGGAACTAGTAAATATTTCAACTTTTTTAGAAGAAATATCGCTGAATTGTGACTATGTCGATTGTAAGAATATTGAGAGAGTTTACGATAATGCGCATAATGCATTTTATTACACATCCGTTTATTCAAGAGTCGTCCGGACTCTCTTCAAAGCGACATTAAAATAATCGCTCGTTATAAATCGTGTGTTTTTTGTGCTGGCGGTCTTTTGTTGCCACAATTTCTCGGCGTGTTGGCCGTGAGTAATTCCGTAATACTTGAATGTGACTTATAATTTTCCGCGACATTAAGCCGCAGGTGATGAGACACGTGATTCCGTGCACGCCCAAAACCCGACGGACGCAGCAGCCGAACAAAAAGCCAAAAGCGGAAGAATAGAGGGCTGGAGAATGCACGGAAGCAGGCGCTGCCTTCAGAAGGCGGCGAAAAAACGTCGAGAGGTAGGAAAAATTGCGGCATGCATCAAGCACCACTTGCGCGAGTGTGACGCGCTGACAAATCGCCTCGGCTCGCAGGAGGACAGTGCATTCATTTCGTTTGTCCTCATCTTCGCATCCAGGCGCGACTACGCTTTCTCTCCACCTTCATCCCTCGCTTTCGATCTTCTTCTTTCAACGGAATTCCGCCGTCGTCAGACGTCGACGTTTTTTTACTATCGCTTTTCCAGCGCGTCGGCATTCGTTTTTCTTCGGGTGATAATTTATGTATTGGCTTAAATGACTCGCAATGAATAGTTTAACGGTTTTTGCTTCGTGGAAGGCGGCTTGCTGGAAAAGTGAGCGATCTTTCAGCACAGCATTTGATTGCGACCAGAGAATAAATACTTGGAGCGTAAAAAAATAAACACGGGCGCGAGAAATCGATCTTACGCTCCATTAGTTTAAAGGATATAATGAGATAATGCGCTTTATGCTCACCAACTGCCAAAAAAAATCGGCAAAAACGCGGAAAATCAACACCGGAATGCTTGAAACTGATAAATAGAATTTATTTCTTTTCTGGGTTATTTTTTGCTACAGATTAGTTCCACATCGTTTAAGAAAAGCCAAAAATATACAAAATATTAAGTTACTTCCAGGAAATTAAAAAAAAATCACGTTTTTTTAGCGTTTCTTGTATATTTTAGTAATACACATTTATTATTTTTGTTGGTAAGTTGTGCGTTTATTTTAATTAACTCTTGGTCAACACTACCAGTTTTTAATTTGGCCGTGGTCATCTATAAATCATAATTGCGACGTTGTTCAACGTCGGAAAACTGCAGGGATTGCCTGGATGGCCTGAAGGGTCGAGTTTGTTCTCATTCACTTTTTGTCCGTCGCTACACTTTTAATTTTTTTGGCATTTGCTTCCACACATTCATATCTATATGCACCCTCACATCCGTAACCGGGGTGCAGTATTTTATAAAATTATTCAGTGCGCCTCTATTCTATTTAACTCTAATGAAGTATTCACAGTATTTTCATTGTGGCAGTGTCAAAATCAAAATAAAACGTCCAAAGAGAAAAAATTATTTGAATTTTAAACATAATTTTAAAACTTATCTGACGTTTTAAAAAGCCGGTTTTTTTTTTATTGAAGATTGAGCGGAAATTAGAAACGTGTCCCGCATGGGTATGGTCATATTCTTTGAAATCCGAGCGTTGTCGACACGCGGAATTAAAACATTTAATTAGAAAAGCAATTAACGATCGCCATTAACATGCACGTAGCATATTCGGCAATTAAAACGACGGTTTCGTCTCGCCGCTTGTAAAAAAAACAGCGGAATACATTAAAACTCTAAGCGGAAGCGAGGTGGCCATTTTTAATCCTCACAAAAATGCATATACAGCACTGCAAACGCATTTTATGATCGTTTTAGGTCGTTAAAACAATTTTCTGGGAAAAATCATCCCTCTGCTTCAAAAGCAGCTTAACTATACGAAATTGTTCGGAAATTTTAGGGGTTATAAAGAATAGTCGAGGATATTTATAGGGCGGCAACCATCGAGGCTTTAATTTATGCGCTGCGAAACTAGCCGACTTATAAAGAATTCATTAACGCGTCTTGCGTCTTCCAGACTGGCACAGAAAACGCGAGGGTTGCTTGCGTTCGGTTTGAGATAAGGGTGGAAAGTGGCAGACTGGTGGACGATGCGCGCAGACGATTAAACGCAGCTTCGCCTGTCTATCGCCAAGGCGAAATTTTCCTCTGAACGCGTTTTAAGAATTTCTTTCGCGAGGAAAATCGATTCCGATGCTGTGCCGCCACCGGCACCGAACGAGAGTGACAGTTTTCCAACGTCGATTGATTATCTTTCCATCTCAACCAAACCGAACCAAAAAACATCACAATTTATTTAATATTAAATTTTTTAATTAAAAAGCGCACTATTTTATTTACTTATGAAGTGTGTGTAAATTAGTTTCACCTCTGAATAACAGGCTTGTTAATTTCATGTAAATTTGGTGTTTATATCGTGTTGTGTATATCGCTGGATTAATATTCTAAATTAAATTTTGCGTACCATCTACACATGGTCCGCACTCGCGCGTATTCAATTATTAATTAATTTTAGCATTTAGTCAATGGCGTATAAAGCGGACTGGTTGACGCGGCCGCGTCATGCATGCGATTTTAATTATTGGTCGATTATTAGCGCTAATGGTCATCCAGTCAACGCGCACTGCACAGAGAATAATTAATTTACGCACGAATCACAGCGTGGATTTGACGCCCTACATCAGTAGAATATGCAATTACAACATCACTCACAATCTTTATCAAAATACGCTCAAATATTGAATAATATTTTGACTCTACACATTCATTAGGTTAACAAGCACATGAAATTGTATATATCTGGAATGTAAGTAAATGTACCTATGCGTTTGTCGTTTAATTAATTTTTTTGTGGATTGGTGGAGGCGCTTGGTTTTGAGTATGGCAAGCATCTTAATTAAACATCTCGCAGCGTCGCGTGAATAAATGAAATCGTTCCTCCTTATTAACACGTTTATCAATAATGAAAATCGCTCCCGCTGAATACATCCCCTGCTGGCTGTGGTGTGGACTTCAGCCATGTCGTCACACTTCCACCTTTGCTCAGCTAATAGGTAACGAAGTATTGTGTACACACAGCTGAAGCATACAATGTATGTTGTGGATACACCGGGGTTCACCTCAGGTATTTTGTTCCTGCTGTTCCTACTGTTCACTTGTGTGTTCACGGCGAGACAAGCAGGATGCGAATTTCACCGAGAGCGCATGCAGAGTATCCAGGCATTTCGGGAAATTAAATTTAAATATTAATATTCTGTGTTGAAGCTTCGTGGCTGTAATGCAAGAATAAGAAATGATTATGCTCCGCCTACCATGACGTATGCATGCACCAATGGACGTAAAGTTTATACGCATGCGCAGTTGAAAGTTAATTAAAATGTTTTCAGTGTTTGGTTGTTGTGTAAATTATTTCTGTTTATATTTACACTTTTGAATCGTTGTTCTGTAATACGTTTAGCAAAACTTTTCGGACTTTCGTGGTTGTACCCGAAATATTAATTATATTTTAATTAACGAAGAACTCGAGTCGAGTTAAGGCGTCCAAGTTTACCTTTCGTTTCTATTTTATTAAATTCTACCCCGAATGCTTACCAAAAATCCAAAGGATTTCTAAGGGATGCAAAATACTTGAATGCTTGTGTATAGGCATTCATTACGACCGGTCGTAAAGATATTTAAGTATGAATCAACAAATTTTGGCGACGAATTACGCCCATCAACACATCCATAGAAAATTCACGTCGGTGTAAAGTAAAGGACGAAAGGGTTGGAATACTAGGAATATTGCATGCGTCGCGGACAAGTACAAGCACATATTAGGCCATAGAAATTTCGGGCATGCACGGTCAGGACGTGGCAGTTAAAACGTTAGGATTGCGTTTCTGCCGGCGAGTAGAAGTTGGGATGTAACCATGGCGCTGCGAGAATTTCCTCTTGAATAATTCGGGCGTCCAGTTTAACGGCCGCCACGTCGCGTTATCATTGCACGTCGGCTGAAAGTCATCTTA